CTTGAGCTATAAGTTTGATGATTCAGGAAACTATTTTTTTTTTTTTTAAGGTTTATTTATTTATTATGTACACAGAAGAGGGCACCAGATCTCATTACAGATGGTTGTGAGCCACCATGTGGTTGCTGGGAATTGAACTCAGGACCTCTGGAAGAGCAGTCGGTGCTCTTAACCTCTGAGCCATCTCTCCAGCCCTCAGGAAACTATTTTTAGCAGGATGAGTTCTCTGTGACTAATGCTATATTTTATTTTGAGAAAAATAGTTAAAAAAGATTGATAGGGCTGTGGCTTTCTTTCTTTCTTTCCTTCCTTCCTTCCCTTCTCCTCCTCTTCCTCCTCCTCCTCTCCTTCTCCTTCTTTTTTTTAAAATTTTTTATTTCGGGAAACAAGGTTTCTGTGTAATACCCCTGGCTTTCCTCCCTTTGTAGACCAGGCTGGCCTCCAACTTAACAGAGATCTTCCAGCCTCTTCCTTCCAAGTGCTGGGGTTAAAGGCATGCACCACCACAGCCAGCATGGACTGTGGCATTTTAAATGGAAAATAGTGCTAGGGCCAACAAGGCAGGTGAGGTACAAAGCATTCTTTATTCTTTTAGTGGTTTAGCCAAAGGCTGGAGAAGCCTTCTAATAGAAGGAAGGCAGAGAACATCTCAGCCTCTCCCCCTCTCCTTTAATTGAAATAGTCTTACTCCATAGCTTTGGTTAGTTGACCCGAGATTCACTATGTAGACCATACTGGCCTTGAACTCACAAAGATCCTCTTGCCCTGCCTCGCAGGAGCTGGAATTAAAGGTGTCTGCTAACAGGAGAAGGTCAGTAAATCTTTCAGACTGATAGGACACTTGGGGCTAGGCAGCCTGGACTCTGCCCAACACTTAATTACTCACAGATGAGAGAGGACTCTGTCACAAGGAAAACCAACTCAGTCATAGGGGCTATGTATCTCCTCCTAGAGGCAGGAGAAAAATTGGAGGTTGGAAGGTCAAGGCCAATCTCAAAAAAAGATTAGCTGGTTTTGTTTTTTGAGCTGTGTTTTGCCATGTTAACCAAGCTAGCATTGAACTCTTGGATCCAAGGGATCCTTTTTGTTTGTTTTTATGACAAGGTCTCACCAGGAATGGTGGTGGCTGCCAAAAAACAAAGCACTTGTGGGGTAGAGGCAGGCAGATCTATGAGTTCAAGGCCAGACTTGTCTACATAGTGAGTTCCAAGCTAGCCAAGGACAATCCTATTTCCTCCCCACCCCCACCCCGGAACATCTATCTCTCCAGCCCTCAAGGGAACTTTTGACTTAGCTTTCCAAGCAGCTAGACCAATAGATGTATAACACCATGCCAGGCTGACTCTTCAGACTTCAAACTTGTCATGAAAATTACGTAAGATGTGGCTGGAAAGAAGACTCAAAGGTTAAGGACACTGGCTACTCTTCCAGAGGACCATGGTTTGATTCCCAGCACCCATAGGCAGCTCACAACCATCTATAACTCCCGTTCTGGGAATCTGATGCCTTCTTTTGGCCCCTGTGGGCACTACATGCATATGGTGCACATACTTATACATGTGTATATGCAAATGGTGTATATACATATATGCAGGCAAAACACCCATACACATAAAATAAATTAAAAAAATTGTAGGGGCTAGAAAGATTGCTCTGCTGTTAAGAGCTCTTATAGGGTTGGGAGTGGTGGTGAATGCCTTTTATTCCAGTGCTTGGGAGGCAGAGGCAGGCAGATCTCAGGTGGATTCCTGAGTTCAAGGACAGCCTGGTCTACATTGTGAGTTCTAGGACAGCCAGGACAAAAAGAGACAGGGTCTCACTGTGTAGACGTAGCTGGCCTTGAACTCTCAGAGATCTGTCTGCCTCTGCCTCCCCAGTGTTAAGATACAAGGTGTATGCTACCATACCCAGCTTAGTTTCATTCTTTTTTTTTCAAGGCTGCATATTTCGCTGCATGTATAGGTATATGGAACACTCAAAATATCCATTTATTGTGCAAAGCTTTAGGTTCAACCCCCAGTACTTACTGAAAAACAGCAACAATAACAAATCCCACTGGTGGACATTTAGATTTCTACTTTTTGTTTTGTTTTTTCAATATAGGGTTTCTCTGTGTAATCCTAGCTGTCCTGGAACTCTCTCTGTAGATCAGGCTGAGCTTGAACTCACAGAGATCCGCCTGCCTCTGCTTCCCCAGTGCTGGAATTAAAGGTGTGTGCCACCACCACTCAGCTGGCTATAGTTTCATCCAGGTCGGCCTTGAATTTATTGTTATTCTAGATCTGGCCTGATCCTCCTGACTGTAGCTCTTGATTACAGGCATGTACAGCTATGCCCTGCTCCTTTTGGCTATTTTGAATATATTCCTTTCTTTTCAAGGTCTCACATAGCCCCGGCTGGCCTTTACCTATGTAGCCAAAGTTAGTCTGGATTTCCTTCTGATTCTTTTTCCTCAGCCTTCTAACTGCTGGGATTACAGGTGTTTGCCACTATACCCAGCTTCTTTTCATTTTCCTAAAGGATTTTCTTGTCTCCAGTCATTAAACCCTATCACCCTTTCCAGGTAGCATCTGATAATTGTCTTTAGCTTAATTGTAGAAATCCTTCTGATAATTGGCAAATTTAAAGGTGGTAGTGTTTTGGCTACTAGAGCATGAAATGCCTCCAGAGGCAGCAATAAATTTGGAGACTCCTCTGTCAAAGAGAAGTGGTAATGTACTTTATTTTCTTGGATGTTTGTTTTTTGAGTGATTGCTCTTACTTGGCTCTGTCTTCTAGCAATACAAAACTTACTGTAGGCCCAATGGTGTGGGGGATGGGGAGAAGACTAAGCAGGTAAAGGCACTTGCCAAGCCTGATGACCTGAGTTCAATGCCTGGAACCCACAATGGAAAGAGAGAATCATGTACCCTAAGTTGTCCTCGGGTCTCTACATTTGTACCATGGCACATACACATATAGATAGGTAAATGTAATTAAAAAAAAAACAACAAAAAACAAAACCCTTACTGTAGTCTTCAAACCATACCAAATATCTATTGCTAGTTTTTGCCACTTTACCACAGCCTTTTTCTTTTGTGGAAAGTCTTCCTTGTCTCTACCATTTTGTGCTGATAGCCTCTGTTAGATCAGGACTGATCGGGGTGAAATAAAAGAAAGGGGAGACCAACCTCTTATGAAATCAGAATGGTACTTTAATCAGAACAACTGTAGGACAGCGTTCTCTCCTCAGGAGTGGAGACTGTGTCAGGACTCTGGGGACTTGGGGTTTTATAGGGCAGTCAAGGGAACTTTTGGGTGGGAAGATTTATTCTACAGACCTATTTTCTGCTTTCCCAAGCTCATAAATTTCTATGGAGTCCTTACTGTGTAGGCATCCATGCCTGGAGTTCTGACATGTTGATCCCTGGTCTGGAGCCTCCCTGCTCCTAACTCCTTGCTGATATCTACTCTTCATGCATGGAGTTTTTCAGGCGCTGAGGCCTGTAGGTTATTAACTCCTCACTCATCACCTTTTACTAACATCCCTTGCTTAGCTACCCTCCTGATAGGGGTAATCCAGGCTGTGTGAGTGTGTGTGCATATGTGAGGCTGGTATATGAGGATGGCCATGTGTTGCACAGAGGCTTGAGGAGAGAACAGGCGTTCTGTTACTCTCTGATGTAATTTTTGGAGGCAGGGTCTCTCTCTCTGAACCTGGAGCTCTAGTTTTTTTGGACAAGGCTGGTAGTCAGGGAGCCCCTCCAATTAAACTCTTGTCTCTGGCCTGATAGGTTCTGGATTACAGGCGTGGGTGAGAGTGTCTAGTACTCCTCCCCCCGTCAAGACAGGGTTTCTCTGTGTAACAGCCCTGACTCTCCTGGAACTCGCTTTGTAGCCCAGGCTGGCCTCGAATTCAGAGATCTGCCTGTCTCTGCCTCCAAGTGCTAGGATTAAAGGCATGTGGCCCCACTGCCCAGCTTCACATTAAGTATTCTTAATGGTTGAGCCATCTCTCCAGCCTCTAACTCACATTTTCTTGAGGCTTACACGCTGTAAGGCAATCATAAAAAAAAAAAAAAAAGTCACAAAAAAGTGAAACTTCAAAACTCTTACAATTTTGTGGTGTTAGGGATCCAAGACCTTAAGCATGCAAGTATTCTACCACTGAGCTATGTCCCCAGCCACAAAACAACCGGAAACTAGAAGACTCAAGATTGCAATCTCTGTAGGCCAATTATCAGAAATGCTTTGAAGCTAGACTCTCCAATTCTCAGTATCTCCCTGGTTAAACTGGGGGGGGTCACTACAGTGTAAGATTCTTTAGCTTAACCCAGGTATGTTGGAGCATTCCGGTAATCCCAAAATTAAGGAGGTAGAGACAAGTGCATTAGAATTTCAAGGTCATCCTTGGAGGCTGGCCTGCATGAGATTTTGTACCCCCCTCCTCAAGTGCTATATATATGCATTAGTCATAAAAATTTGCCACTGGTCTTAGCAGACCTTCTTCTAGTCCACAGAGCGTGTTGTCTGGGTCCTTATTTCCAGCTCAGGGATATGACTCATCTGACCTAAGGACGTGAGTGGTGAAAAACAGGCTGAAAGAGTGGATTCCTGTCTTGGTTAGCGCTTGTCTCTCACACTCAACTAAGCTTCACGTTGGGCTCATCTGATACAGTAAATGCAGGATTAGCTCGCATTCACCGCGGGGCCTCATAAAAACCGCGGAGGGCCTGCGAAGCCACCGCCGGAAGTCCCACCGCGCTGACGAGACGCAGCGGAAGTGGGCCCCACGCGGCTCTCAGAAGCATTGTCTCACTCCCGCTCGCCTACTTCTGGAAGGTAGGCGCTCTACAGCGCACCACGGCTGCGGGGGCTTCTCTGCGCAGGCTCAGCCGACAACCTCGCGTCGGCCCGCTTTCGTCCTCTCACTTCCTCCCCAGTTTCCTGTGCCAGGACGTGACGCAATCCCCGCGTCTCCGGGGGAGGAGCCTCCGGAGGAAAATCGTCGGAGCTGGGGGTCTCGCGAGAACGTTCCGTTCCTGCGCAGTTCTCGCGCTGCAGCCCTGCTCCTGTCGCAACGGGAGCCTTCGAGAGCTTCTCCGCCCCCGCTACCGGCGCCTCCTCTGCTGCCGCGGAGCCGGAGCCGGCCTGAGCGGCGGAGGCTCGTCGTCTTCAGGGACCCAAGCACCCTCGTGGACGGTCGCCCGGCTTCGCCCGCCTGTCCGCGGCGCCCCGTCAGCCCACGCGGCTCGCCCTTTCCACGCGCCAACCCCGCCGGGGTCCGTGTGCAGTGTCGGCGGCCGGCCCTGGGCCCGAGCCCGAGCAGTAGCCGGCGCCATGTCGGTGGTGGGCATAGACCTGGGCTTTCAGAGCTGCTATGTCGCTGTGGCCCGCGCCGGCGGCATCGAGACGATCGCTAACGAGTATAGCGACCGCTGCACGCCGTAAGTGTGGGCCTGCCCGGCGGGGTCGCCTCCTTGTCCAGCTGAGGGTCCGCAGGAGACCCCTGCCGATTGCCGGGTCCGCCCGTGGCTGCCACCTGCTTCGGAGTCTGGGCCTGCGCCAGGCGCGAGGCCTTTCCCGCGGGCCAAACGAAGGCTTTGAGCCGGTACTCCGATCGGCGGAGGGCACGAGTAGGAACTGAAAGGGAAGGCAGGCCTGAGACCGTAGGATGGACCGCCCTTCCCTCCTTTTTTGGGGGGTGGGGTGGGGTGGACCTGAAACTAGGGCCCAGGGCTTGCCGAGCTTTGTTGAACCCAACAGAGGTGGGAACTCTGCACACAGAAAGCGTTTAATAAAAGTTAACTTGAGTAGATGGTGGCCTCCAGACTGGGAAGCGGCCTGAGGCCCACGTGAGTGGGGGCGGGGTGGCGCCCGGAAGATGTGGAGTCTGAGCACCCAGTGCTCTGGCCCCTGTTCCCGGCAGTTCGCCATTGGGGTGGTCAGTATACATAATAAGAGATTTAATAAAATTGATGCTTTTCTTAATAGCGTTTCAACCCTTTCTCCCTATCGTTTCTGGATATTGAGTTATGTTGGGTCATTCTTTGCCCAGTCTGCTCACCTCGTCCTTAGCGTTCCACTTTTCCATGCTAATGAATTCCAGCCGGATGCTGGCCACAATTGTTAATGCATGACTCAAGGGCTCACTTTGACTTCTAGAACTTACACGAAGTTATGGGACCAGTGTAGACAAATCTCCAAAAAAGATGACTCATAACAGGCTTTTTTTTTTTTTTTTTGAGTAAAAGGGAGCCTACCTTTTCAATATATGTAGATAGTATTTTTTTTCTTAAAGGATAAATTCTCCCCATGTAGCCCAGGATGACCTCAGATTTGCTAATCCTGCCTCTGTCTTCCAATATCTGGGATTACAGGTGTGTTAAACTTTTTTAAATCTACTGAATTCCACTTAGACAAACTTTTGAAGAAGCTCTGTTATTTCTGGGTTCAACAGTTCTGGTTCATTGTTCCATCTCGAGTTTTAAACCAGTCTTCTGTGGTAGGTTTCTTGTAGGCCAGGCTCCTGAGATCACTGTGTCTGAGGAGGACTTTGAGCTCTTGATCCTCCTGCCTCTACCTCCCCAAGTGTACAGGTATATACCATAACACCGGTCTTATGCACAGCTAGAGATTGAATCCAGGGCTTCAGGCATTCCAAACAAGCACTCCAGCAACTAAGCCGACCAGTCCTCAAGTTTTTTAGTGCCACAAAGCTCTGGGACCATTATCAAAAATAGTTTTTGAACATTTTGCTCACCTGCCCCCATTGCCTGTCAATCTCCATTTCCCATTTGTCATTTTTGTTTATTTTTTGAGACAAGGTTTCTCTTTGTACCCCTGGTTGTCCTGGAACTCACTATATAGACAGGATGGCCTGGAGATCTGCCTTCCTTTTGCCTCCCAGAGTGCTGAGTGCTGGGATTAAAGGTGTGCACCACCACCGCCTGACCCCAATTGCCATTTTTGAACTGGGTATTCTGGTCTGTATTTTCTAGAGGTATATCATTCATGTACTGCTTTTTGAAAAGTGTTAAAATTTTGCTTCTAGGCATTTTAGCATTAATTTGATATTAGATAATGCTTCCTCTGGGTTCTCACTTTTATCTCTTAAAGTCATCTTCCTAAGGAAATTTTAACAGGATGAAGAAACTGGCTTCTTGGTCCTCACCTGCCTAGAATTGATTACACTTTAGTGGGAGGAGGAGAGACGTGACCCGAGGAGCCTGAGGCTTGGGAAGTAGTGCTCCTATCTTTCCTTCAGATTGCCTTAACCTGTTACCTCTAGACAGCAGCTGTGGCAGCAGTTTTGTCATGAATTATTTGAAACTTTAGTTGTTTTCCTGGTGGCAATTAAATTTGCATAAAGACTGAATAGGTGATTAGATAGACCATGTGTCTGTGTCAAGGTAGCACCGACATCCTGCCTTTGCCTTACTTTCCCAGGTGTTGTTTTCCTTCATAGCCACGCAAGGAATTTCTTTTTTCTTTTTCTTTTTTTGAGATGAGGTCTATCTACATAGCTCTGGCTGTCCTAGAACTCACTATGTGGACCAGATTGGCCTCAAACTCACAGAAATCTACCTTCCTCTGCCTCCTGAGTGTTAGGATTAAAGGTGTGCACCACCACACTCAGCTGTAATTTCTTTTTTGAGGCCTCAGTGTTTCTCCGCTGGCTTTGAAAGAACGACAGAATGTGAGACTCCTGAGTGCTGGAGTCATGGTGTGCACCACTATGCTTGGCTTCATTTAAGTGCTCTATGCTATGTATTTGATGAACAGATTTCTATGGTGGAGGCTTGGCTTCCCAATGGGAGCAGAAAGCACAGGGCCTTTGCTTCAGGTTGTGGAAGAATGGATTTAGATCTCATAAGTATGCAGAGACTGTTGCAGCTTTGTTTTAATGTGAAAGTGGAAAGGTCCAGGTCTCAGTGGTTTGGCTGTGACAGATGTATCTCATTTTCAGTCTAACACGCTCCCACTTGCACTAAGTCTGCAAAGGCAGATGAAGCTTTATGTATGTACTTCATTTCAAATTGGGATTGACTTGAGCCAGAGGAGTAGCCAGATCTTTGCATTTCACCTCATTTAGCAGATACCAGTGTGACTGGTGGTATGTGTTAAGTACTGGAGATACTGTGATGAACAACAAAATACCCAGTCTTGCTGTCATAGGCATGGTAATGGAAAAAGCCACATGCTGAACAAGGGCATACTATTACTATCTGGTGAAGAACAAAGTGGAAAAGTACAGATGAAGATGAGAGTGTAACAGAGAGCTGGTTGTGGGCTGGAGTTAGAGTGTGCTCTCAGAATGTCATTTGTGACCTGGCAGGTGGGTAGGATTTACGTGGAGGCCATGATGGGCTTGAGGAGGAGTTATTCCAGCAAATGGGAAGACCTGAAGTAAGCAGAACTTGACAGATTAAGGGGATGATGGCTCATCTTGAGGCAAGGCTTAGGGGATTCTTACACTTTTCATGTAGGTGCAATGGAAAGTGATCCAGCTTTTAAAAATATGATTGGCAGCCTGTCGTGGTGGCCTAGGCAGAGGCAGGAGGATCTCTTGAGTTTGAGGCTAGCCTGGCCTACAGAGCAAGTTCCAGGATGGCCATAGCTACACAGAAAGACCCTGTCTCAAAAAAAAAACAAAAAACACCTAAACACAAAAATGAGATTGGTTTTGTGAGACTGTGAGAATGAACATTGGAAAAGAGAAGAAATAGGTCGGTACCCAGAAGGTCCTATAGTATTTGGTTTCTCCTTGTGTGAAAGCAATGGGAGAGATGAATGGCTCTTGAGTAAATCTGAAGTTTTACATTTAATGTTACTTGTTTTACACTAGTATTGTACATGTAGTGTGAGCACACATGCTTTGGCATGCATGTGGAGGTCAGAGGACAACTTGGAGGAGTTAGTTCTCTCTGCCACAATGTCTCCCAGGTATTGAACTGTGTATGTAGCCAAGAATTGAATTTTTGGTTTTACAGCTTCCACTGCTGAGCACAGGGATTATAGGTATATGCTAGTATGTCTGGCTTGTCTTTTTTCTTAGTGCATAGAATAGTAGTATAATACCAGAATATTTGCCAGTAGTCTTTTTTGTATTTCCCTCTCTCCTTGGGAGACAGGGTCTTGAATTCATGATCCTGCCTCAGCTTCCTGAACACTGATACAGGCATGAGCTGCTGTACCTGGACCTTTTGTATTTTTGATTAATGTTCCATTAACTATATTATAGTGACACTAAAATTAAATCTGGAAATTTGTGCACTATTCTTAAAAACATTTTATGTATTTTTAACGTGTATGGGCGTTTTGCCTGCATGTATGTCTGGACAAGGGTGTGGGATCCTCTGGAACTGGAGCTACAGACAGTTGTGAGCTGGTCATGTGAGTGCTGGGAATTGAACCTCAGTCCTCAGGAAGAGCAGCCAGTGCTCCTAATCCCTGAGCCATCTCTCCAGCTCCTGTTGAAATGCATAAATATTTGGCCAGTAAGTAGTATGTCTTACCTAGAAAAGCTAGAACTTTTGTTTGTAATAGTTACAGTTAGAACAGAGGGTCCTGCTCTTAAATGTGAATTAGTTTCCTGTAATGACAGTTTGGAATGGAGGAAAAGTACTGTCCCGCTGTGATTGTGAGTGCTCCTAGGGGTTTGTGCCGGGTTGACTTGGTGTAGTGGAGTTGCACAGACAAACGTGTAAGCAGAACACCCTTGCATATAAAATAAGGACGCATGCCTGCTGTCTGGAGTCTCACAGCCCTGATTATGAATTCTGGGTTTGCATTTTATTTAGCTGTTTATAAGAACTTGTCTTGAATGAGCTTTTCATTTACAGAATTACGATGATTAAGTGTAAATTTTTTTTTTTTTTCCGAGACAGGGTTTCTCTGTGTAGTTTTGGTGCCTGTCCTGGAACTCACTCTGTAGACCAGGCTGGCCTCGAACTCACAGAGATCCACCTGGCTCTGCCTCCCGAGTGCTGGGATTAAAGGCGTGAGACACTGCCGCCTGGCTCCGTGTCTTTTTAAGAAGGTGAGAACTGTTCTCATGTGTCCAATTTTATTTATATATATGTATATTTATATACACACATGCACACATATATCCACACATATATGTATATGTAAAAGATTGAATAACTCCAGGTGTGAAAGGCATTTTTAAAAATTACAAAATTGTGCTGGGAGTAGTGGCTTTTAATCTCAGCGCCTGGGAAGTAGAGGCAGGCAGATCTGAGTTCAAGGCCAGACTGGTCTACAGAGTGAATTCCAGGATAGCCAGGGATAAACAGAAACCCTGTTTCAACCGAAAAAATAAAGGAAAAAATACTAAAAATTGCATTGTTGGCTTGGTGGCATACACTTAGCACTTGGGGTACAGCGGCAGGTGGATCTGAGTTTGAGGCTAGCTTGATTGATACGGTTACAAGCCAGCCAGAGCTACATAGTGAGACTTGTCTGAAACAACAATAAACCCCCAACTGCTCAAAACAACTGGAACTTGTATTTATTTATACAGTTTGTGTGTGTGCTATTGCAAGCATGTGGAGTGAGACTTGGCATCAGTTTTCTTCTACCATGTGGTTCCCAGTGTTTGAACTCAGGTTTGGTAGCAAGCCCATTTACCAGCTGACCTTTTATCCTCTGTGAAAGGCATTCTTTTTTGCTCTTGGAGATATATGTTAACCTTGGTACTATTAAGGGAGATACAGATTTTAAAAGAAACAACCCACTTCAAGGAAATTAATGTATAGATTAATATTCCAGGGATCCAATGCTGACTTCTGGACACTGGTGGTGCACAGATGTATGTTCAGGCAAAACACTCACATAAATAAAATAATAAAAGTTAATTAAAAAAAAAGCACTTCATGTTAACCAAAGTGTTCTGTATCAAACTGTTCAGAACAGTAGCCACAGGCCACACTTAGGCATTGAGTTGTTGAAATGTGGGCAGTGGAGCCTGAAGAACTGAGTTTTACATATTATTTAAAGTTAAATAAATAAAATTCAAATAGTTTCCTGTGGCTAGAGGCTGCATTGTTGGAAAGCATGTGCCTATAACCCTATGATAAGTCACGATTTGTTGTGACTTACACCTCACTGGCCTTCAACTCACAGACATTCACTTGCCCCTGCTCCTGAGCGCTAGAATTAAAGGTGGGTGCTTCCATGCCTGGCTTGTTGAGGCTTTTTGCATTAAGACATTGTAGGCATGTCACAATTGATAGTGAGCTTTTTATTTATTTATTTATTTATTTTGGTTTTTCGAGACAGGGTTTCTCTGTGTAGCTTTGCGCCTTTCCTGGGACTCGCTTGGTAGCCCAGGCTGGCCTCGAACTCACAGAGATCCGCCTGGCTCTGCCTCCCGAGTGCTGGGACTAAAGGCGTGCGCCACCACCGCCCGGCGACTTAGAGGTTTTAAAACAGTCTTTCAGAGTAGGAAACAACTAGATTAAAAATCAAAATTGAATTTCTCATTATCTAGAAATTAAGCCAAGTAGACTAAGTTAAGAGGTAAAAATGATAAATTTATTCGACTTGGGAGTGTGAAGTGGAATTGGGACAGTTTTACTAAGCAGGGGTTGTCTGAAGGACCAGTATATTGCATGTGGCAAAAGTTGTTTTTAGTAAAGAGGGAAGATTTCGAGACTTTATAGGGATTGTATTGGGGTCACTATGAGTAGTTGTAGAGCTTGGCTTGTAATAGCAGAGGCCTTAGTTTCCATTTGCAGGAGTGTGGGATATGTTTGTGGGCAGTTGGTTTTGTCTGGAGGGTAACAGGGACCATACTACTTCAGAGTTACTAAGTAAACAATTATAGGGTGGTGGTGGCTCACACCTTTAATCCCAGCATTCTGGAGGCAGAAGCAGAAGGATCTCTTGAGGCCAGCCTGGTCTACAGAGTTAGTACCAGGATAGCCAGGACAACACAGACACCCTGTCTTGAACACCCCACCCTGTTCAGTGGGAACATTGTCCATTTTTAGACATAGTAATACTTAAAAATCAACTCTTTAAAAAACTATTCTTTGGGAATTTTACATGTATGTACAGTATATTTTGAAGATAATTACCCCTAGCTCCTTCTTCCTTTGCCTGGGTACCTGTGCCCCATATTCTCCTACACCAACTTCATCCCCACCCCCCTATAACCTACTGAGACTAATGCTGCCTATATATGTTTAAAGAATTGCCAGTGCATCCTTCAATTAAATGATTACTGGTCCTTCCTCCTCCCACCATAACTTGAACCCAGGACCTCCTGTGATCTCAGGTATTCTGATTGAGTCCTTACCATTGAGCTTCATCCTCAACTAGTTTCTTCTTTGACAGTTTCATGCTGGCATATAATATATTCTGGTCACACTTGCCTTTCTCCACCCTTGTGACTTAACACTTAAGGTCTGAACAAAGGGCTACTGGAAACAGGGAAGGTGGTGAATAACATTGTCTTATGTTGGCACTGTGGTCTTGGAGCTCAGAAATCTGATCTGGTCATTTGTAGAAAGATGGAAGTTTGCCAAGGGTTAGGCGAGGCAATCTTTGTGGAGTGTGATTACTGGGGTAAGATTGTGTGGGCTTTTTTTTTTTAAAGGGCAGTTTGGCCTGTGATTAGCACCATTTAACTGGCACCTAATTTTTTATCTATGTATGTATGTATCTATCTATCTATCTATTTATTGGTCACTGGTAGCTATTTTTGAGCTTGTTACCTGTTTTTTAAAAAAGTACTGCTTCTATCTAGGCCTAAACAAAGAACTCTGATTCAGAGAGAAGTTCATGAGCTCTCAGTCTGTGTATGGGACATTATAGTACATAGAGAGGCCTGCACCTTTTGAAGAAGGGCTTACAGGGTTCTTAGTCGCCGAAGCTCAAGAGAGGCCTAGTATTCTCTCCAGCCTCCTGTTGGGGAATATTATTTTAAGGTGTGTTACTTTTGTTTATGTTCTATTTGTTTAACTCTGTGAAGCTGTGTTACTGTGTCTTGTCTAAAACCTGATGGTCTAATAAAGAGCTGAACGGCCAGTAGCAAGGCAGGAGAAAGGATAGGCGATGCTGGCAGGCAGAAAGAATTAATAGAAAGAGAAATATGGGCGAGGAGAGATCTAGGGGCAAGAGAAGGAGCCAGCCACCCAGCTACACAATCAGCAACTGAGTAAAAAAGAAAGGTAAACAAAAATAAAGGTAAAAGCCCAGGCGCAAAAGACAGGTTAATTTAACGTTAAGAAAAGCTGGCAAAAAACAAGCCAAGCTAAGGCTGGGCATTTATAATTAAAAATAAGCCTCCATATGTAATTTATTTAGGAGCTGGGTGGCGGGCCCCTCAAAAGGGAAAAAACAACTTCCCTCTCCCCCTTTTAATGTAACTTAAAAATTTTAATACGGCTGGGTGTTGGTGCACGCCTTCAATCCCAGCAGAGGGAGGCAGAGGCAGGTGGATCTCTTGAGTTTGAGGCCAGCCTGGTCTACAAAGTAAATTCCAGGACAGCCTAGGCTATGCTGAGAAAACTACCCCCCTCCTGAATTTTTTAAATATGTTAACTGTGTGCGCGCGCATGCGCGCAGGGGTCAGAGGACATCTTGTGGCAATCAGTTCTCTTCTACCTTTTGGGTCCTGGAGATTAAACTCAGGTTGTCATGCCTGGTGGCCCCTCCAGGACTCTTATTCTTACTCTGCTGAATTGGAAGATAAAAGTCAGTGTTTTCTGTAAGATAGAGAAGGTTAAAGCTGGAGTGTGAATTACAGACATGATCTGAGTTCTGAGTTCATCACTTTCAGACCCTAGATGAATCAACTTACTAATGATTATTTCACACTTCTTCTCTCAGATAAATGGTGTAAGGTAGGGTACTTCTAAGGGCAAATGATATAATCCACAAAGCAAGCAACCAGTAAAGTCACTGTTAGCAAAGTAGGAAGAAGAGAAAGCCAGTTACTGGAAAGGGAAGTGATACATGAGCATAAAGAGAATATGACCTGGTTCTAGGGGTGTTAGGTTACAAAACAGAAGTCTAGATAGCACCAGCTCCTTAGCAGTCTACTTTTTAAGCATAAATAGAGTGTTTTCTTTGAAGCCTACAAGCAGGTTTCTGCTTTGGGTGTTTAAAAGAACAGCAAAGGGGGTTGGAGTGATGGCCCAGTGGTTAAGAGGACATACTGTTCTTTAGATTCCCAGCACCCATATCTGGCAGCTCACAACTGCCTGTCATCCAGCTTTAGGGGATCTGATGCCCTCTGTTCTCACTAATACGCAGACTTACACATATACACATAAGTAAATAATAAAATTTTTTTTTTAAAAAGCAAGTAGCTCAACCAAGCATGTGTACAATGATTTGAAAAAGTGTTCAGAGGTGGAGATGAAGTTCTTGGCAGTATCCTATTGAGTCTGGAAGCTGGTTCTAAGTAAGTTATTTTTTGTTGACACGAGTAGGCCAGAGTTCATTTTTATTTTAGATGTGCGAGTGTTATGTCTGCATATATGTCTCTGCATCACTTGCACACCTGGTACCTTCTGGGGTCAGAAAAGGGCAACAGAGTTACAGGTGGTTGTGAACCATAATGTGTATACTGGGATTGGAACTCCTGTCCTCTGGAAGAACAGGAAATGCTTTTAACCACTGAGCTCTCTCCAGCCCCGAGTTGTTTTTAAGTTTTTATAGACTGTATTCATTTTGAAATTGAGCTGTGTTAAAAATAAGACTTTGATTGAGCCGGGCGGTGGTGGCGCACGCCTTTAGTCCCAGCACTCGGGAGGCAGAGCCAGGCGGATCTCTGTGAGTTCGAGGCCAGCCTGGGCTACCAAGTGAGTTCCAGGAAAGGCGCAAAGCTACCCAGAGAAACCCTGTCTCGAAAAACAAAAACAAAAAAAACAAAAAAAAAAAAAATAAGACTTTGATTGATAGTAATATGGGAATACATTGCTTTGTATTGGAATTTGAACATGAGATGTGGAAGGTTAGGGTGATCTTGTCCCATCTACCTCTCTTTAGTATTTTAGACATGGAGTTATGAAATCAGATCTGTGCTCCAACCTTTAAATAACAAGATTCAGTCCATTTCATGGACAGTTTTTATGCAATAGAAATGTCAAAATCATAGACATGTCATGTGCTGTTAAAATAGATGGCCTACACTTGAAATCATATATCAGCAATACTATTAGGACTCAGCAGGTGTATTTGTGTGTGTTTGTGTAACAGTAATAATTAAAAAGAGACCACAGGTTTAAGGGGAGGGGCAGGACATGGGAAGGATTGGAAGGAGAAGGGGGAGTGATGGAATTATATTTTAATTTTAAAAATTCAAGAAACACATGGCTTTTAGCTGATCCTCAGAAATACTGCCTGCTGGGGTTTCAGATGTATTATACTAAAGTCTGATTCCTAAGTGTTGGTTTTGTCTTCTAGGGCTTGTGTTTCTTTTGGTCCTAAGAATCGTTCAGTTGGAGCAGCAGCTAAGAGCCAGGTACAGTGTCCCTCTTCCCTCCTAAAATGACTTAGTTCTCTGAATCTGTCCTTCTCTTCACTCAAGTACTTGTGGGAAATGACACTTGCATGTAATGTTTGATGTAAATTGCTAGTATTTGTTATTACCTGGATTTTTTTTCTTTTTGAGGTAGGGTCTTCCTATATGTCCCAGGTTCCCGTAGAACTCAATTTGTAGCTGAGGCTGGCCTTCAACTCAAGCTCTTCCTGCCTCAGCTTCCCATGTGCTGTGTGCTAGCACACTCAATCTACGCAGATCTTTTTAAAGCAAAGGGTTTATTAACCTTTGGTGTTTGAAATGCCTTTTTTTTTTTTTTTTTTTTTTTTTGGTTTTTCGAGACAGGGTTTCTCTGTGTAGCTTTGCGCCTTTCCTGGAACTCGCTTTGGAGACCAGGCTGGCCTCGAACTCACAGAGATCCGCCTGGCTCTGCCTCCCGAGTGCTGGGATTAAAGGCGTGCGCCACCACCGCCCGGCTGAAATGCCTTTTGAAGTCTATTCTGCTGGGCCTTTCATCATGTATAAGGTTAAGGTTATTGTTAATCAGGTTCCACAAGAAAGGACACTATATCGGAAGGGGCATATTAAAGACTTGCCATGTTCTTTTTCATCCACGATCTTGATATATTTGCTTGTTTCTGAGTAACCAGAGCAACAAAAGCCCCAAAAATCTATTACCCTGAATGAATGTCTTAGGTATCTGTTGAGCTAAGGAGTTGCATGTTTGACCTTGTTACAGTTAAGTCTGGAGCAACAAATGCATGAATTTTTTGGACCATGCAGAACCTAAAGTGAGCCTAAGATGCTGCTGATAGGGCTGGGGAGATGGCTGAGTGATTCTCAGTGCTTCTCAGAAAGTAAGGTGGAAAGATACTGACTTTATGTGTACACAAAAATAAAGAGAACAGTTTCTTGGCTGGTGATGGAGCTCAGTTGGTAGTGCTTGAGGCCTGGGTTCATTCCCTACCTAGCACTACATAAAACAGATGTAGTTTGTTTTATAATCCCTGTACTTGGGTGGTGGAGTCTTTGTAAACACCATGACCAAAAAGCAAATGGAGGAAATAGTTTATTTGGCTTACACTACATCATTGTTCATTGCCAAAAGAAGTCAGGACAGGCACTCAAGCATGGCAGGAAGAGGCAGGAGCTGATGCACAGGCCATGGAGGGATGCTACTTTACTGGCTTATTTATTCTACAGACTGCTTTCTTACAGAACTCAGGACAACCAGCCCAGGAATGGCACCACCTATAATGGGCTGGGCCCTCCTCCCCCATTGATCAGTAATTAAGAAAATGCCCTACACCTGGATCTTATGGAGGCATGTTCTCAATTGAGGCTCCTTCCTCCCTGAAGACTCTAGCTTGTGTCAAATTGATATAAAACCAGACAGTACATGGAGGCAGGAGAACTAGCACTTTATGGTTATCATTGGCTATATAGCAAGTTTAAGACCAACCTGGGGTAAATGAGAGACCCTATCTCAAAGAAAAGTGGTGCTTTGTTAGTTGGTTTTTACTTAAGTTGAATGTTTCATAGTCTTATTTGTAGAGTGTTCTAAATAATTTTGGAGACATTTGATAGCAAATTTATGTTTACTTTCAAATGGTTGTTTTATAAACATCAATGAGTTTTTTTGAAACTGCTTTCCCTACTGAATATAGTTACTGTATTACACTGGCTGCTTGGTTCTATGCTGACTGTTGATTGTGATATACTGAGTTTCTGTTTCAGGCCAGTTCTTACTTTGGAGGCCTTACTGGTTTGGCCTAGATGGAGAGAAGTTGTGTAGAGAGCTTTTCTTGTCTGTGCAGGCTCCTTACATCTTGTGCTGTGAATAGAAGCACACATTCATCCCAGAACTTAAAATGTCCACCAGTGTTCTCTGTTAGTTACTGTCTTTTCTAGAGGAATTAGAAAATGGATCTAGAAAAAGTATCGGGCATGTGGAAGTCACCTGTTCAACCATTATGTAGAGAAACGACTGTTATTATCTTTCTTTGGATTAAACCTAGGACCTTGTGCATGCCGTATACACACTTCTTCCACTGACCTGTGTACCCAACCTCACTGTTACTGTTTAAATGAGTAATCTTTTGTTCTTGGTAAGCATCTAAGTGTTCCTCTAAGTGAGCTCATACTACACAGATAATTGTCTTTTCACTTAAAAAGTGTTACGCTTATATAGTACTTTAGTGCTTGGACATAACATAATTAATTTCACTGTCCTGTTACAAGAACAGTTACAAGATACCTGTTACAATACTCTCCCAAATAGTATCTGTCCTATATGTGTACTCTGGTAGATTTGATGGGGCTGTGTTTGCGTGTTCACATGAATTCAGAGTTGTGTATATGCCAGGTATGGGTTTGACCTCCTAGATCTCCAGCCCTAAGGTAAGGCTGTTTAAGGAGAATTTATGAATTAAAAAGTATTAATGAATTTGTTTTGGAAAGAATGAAGTGTACACTATGAGCAGTATTAGAAACTGATAGTCACTTTCTGTAAATATTAAAAGTTTAGGAACAGGAAATATTTTGGTAAGTGCAGTGGCCTGACTTGATGAAGAGGAAAAATGTGCTAGATGTTTTTCAGCTCTGCCTCTTGAGACTCATGTAAGTCACTGTTTCTCATTTTACCTGATTTAGAAAAGTTGAATATCTAAAGGAAATTGAAACTTAGAAGGATACCTTTTCCCCACATCTTCTTAGTTTTTTGAGACAGGGTTTCTCTGAGTAGCCCTGGAACTATCTCTGTAGACCAGGCTGACCTTGAGCTCTGAGATTCGCCTGCCTCTGCCTCCCAAATTAAAGGTGGGCGATGGTGGCACCACCATCGCTCGGTGCCCCCTCCCCCATCTTATAAACCTCTTTTTTGCATTTGAGCATTTATGAGATTGTTACAGAAAGACAGATGGGTTAGTGAAGTAGCCTTGTTTTTGTGTTCCAGGGCAAAGAGTTTTACCAGGGATACATGGTTAGAAATGGATATAGGACAGCTTATTATTTATTTGTTTGTTTGTTTGTTTGTTTGTTTATTATAGGACAGGGAAAGTACTTTTTTAAAAATTTATTTTATGTACATTGATGTAAAGATGTTAGATTCCCTGGAACTGGAGTTACAGACTGTTGTGAGCTGCTGTATGGGTGCTGGCAATTGAACCTGGGTCCTCTGGAAAAGCATCCAATGCTCTTAACCGCTGAGCCATCTCTCCAGTCCCTGGGAAATTACTCTTGCGAATGAGAGTAGGCTAGGCAGCCGAGGGCAAAGCATACCCTAGAACCCTTTTGGCGAGTGCATGTGTTTGTGTGCGTGTGCGTTGTTGCTCTGAAGAGAGTATCTCACTCTGTAGCCCTGGTTGGCCTGGAGTGGGTTGTTTGTTTTGTTCCTTTTTTTTTTTTGGTTTTTCGAGACAGGGTTTCTCTGTGTAGCTTTGCGCCTTTCCTGGGACTCGCTTGGTAGCCCAGGCTGGCCTCGAACTCACAGAGATCCGCCTGGCTCTGCCTCCCGAGTGCTGGGACTAAAGGCGTGCGCCACCACCGCCCGGCTGTTTTGTTCCTTTTTGTTGTTGTTCTTGCCTCCTGAATTTTGGGATTGCAGTTACATACCACGGTGCCTGGCTCTAGAAGGAAATTTTGTGAATTAAAAGGATTCTAACTAATCTGAGGCTGTTGGAAATTGAAAACTGAATGGCCTTTCTATGCTGTTCTCTCTTTTAGGTTATTTCCAATGCCAAGAACACAGTTCAAGGCTTTAAAAGATTTCATGGGCGTGCATTCTCTGATCCATTTGTGGAAGCAGAAAAAGCTAATCTTGCGTATGATGTTGTGCAGTTGCCCACTGGATTAACGGGCATAAAGGTAAGGTTCTGCAGATAATTGTCAAGAGATAGCACTTCATCAGCTCAGTGTGTGTCCTTTTGATAAAGCTGTAATGAAATATTGTTTTTAAACTTTTATTTTTAATCTTATATATATGAGCATTTTGCCTGCACTGTGAATGTACCTGATGCTCTCAGAGTCCAAAAGAGGGTGCTGGATCCCGTGGGACTGGAATTGCAGATAGTTTTGAACCCTCATGTGTAGGTACTGGGAATTGAACTCCTGTCCTCTGGAAGAGCAACCAATGCTCTTTAATCACTGAGCTATCTCTCCAGACCCTTTAATGAAAATGTTTAAGAATATTTCTTGCTGATAGAAGCTGGTGGTCTTTGATTATGATGGTTTGGGAGCTATTGATGGTGGTGTTCTCTGCATTGGAGGCCAGGGGAGTGATATTAACTTGGTTTGTGGTGTTCACTTTGGTTTTCAAGGTGATGTTAGAGAAGACTTGTGGAAGAGCAGGCCAAAGAATAACTTTAAAGTCTTTAGCCAGGTGCATGGCTGTAGTCATGGCAGTAGGTCTGAAGCTGCAGCGATGATTTAGGGAAGAGTGAATTTGATATTTGTCTTTGGAACATGTACAGAAGAATCTTTGTGGAGCATTAGTGACTGTCACAACACTAAGAGGTTGGGATGTGGGCTGGGTAACATACATCTCCTACAGTTAGAGTTTAAAAGGAATCTAGGCAAGGGAGCTTTAGAGGTGGTATTTGATATGTTTTTGTTTATTGAGACAAGGTCTTATTCTGTAGCCTAGGCTGGCCTTGAATTCACCTGCCTTGGCCTCTTGAGTGCTGGGATTACAGGTGTTAGCCACCATCCGCAGCTAGGTGTGGTATTTGAGAGCACACCAGTTGATCATGAGATTCTTACTGAGACTCAAAGGTGAGGGAGTATAGCTCAGTAGTAGGCCAGTTTATGAGGTCTAGATTCCATCCTAGTAACCATAAAACAGACAAAACATCCATCAGATAGTGAGAAGTGTGAGAACAGTATGGTCTAGCACTGTAGCAGAGAATTCAGATTAGGAGAGAAAGGTTCTCTTAAGGAATAATCAGTCACCATGTGGTTGAGTGGGTAAAAGGGCTGTCATCAAGACTGAACAGTGTTTATGAACTCAATCCTGAAAGTTGTCCTCTGAGTGACTTATCCATGTCGTGGCATGTACCCACCCTTCCCAAATAAATGAATGTAATTGAGAAATGATTACTAGGCTTATGTAAGGTACCTGTGGCAGTAGTCTCAGTAGAGTTTGAATGACTTACTGATGGATGGGCTGGAATGCAGCAGAAGGGGAGAAGGTTTTGTGAGGAAAGGGGGACTTGTTAAAGTCAAGAAGCAGGACAGATGTGGCGGAGAGAGGAGGAAGAAGACCTGGAGGACCTGGTTCATGTATACACAAAGCATAGGAACTGACCAGAGCCAAGCGGAAAGTCAGCAGGTGGGGCAGGTTACAAAGGGGCTCAGTGAGGTCTGTCCCTGTCTCTGCCATGATGTAAAGTGACCAAGTGTCAGCTGCTGCACTGAATTGGAGGGAAGCGAGGTTACGGTTGCTCAGACAAGCGCCTCTCCAAGTTGAGAGGGGGCCTGTTTTGGATGTTAACTGCTGGGTGGGGCTCAGCTTCGGGGGTGGAGGGGAGGGGAGGGAGTAGGGGTATGGGGGGTTATCCTGCACTGCTTGAACATTCGTTCACCTTGCTGTTCTCTGAAGGGTTGCAGACTTTATCCAGGGCAGGGCAGGGCAGGGCAGGGCTTTATCATGAAATGTTTCCTGAGACTTGGTCAACATTTATTCTTTACCCCAGCAAGCGTTTATTGTGGCTGTGTAGGTTCTGGAGCATAGTGATCCTGAAACCACTTGTGTCCTAGCTGGAGAGGTGCATGATTCATAGAATCACCGTAGCTGGACACTTCTTGGTCCCACTTGGCCCTGGCAGTCCTGCGACCACTTATAAAATTACAAACTGTATGGCCCATGGCTTCTTGCTAGCTAGCTCGTGTAACTTAACTCAATCCATTTCTATTAATCTATATGTTACCACATGACTGTGGCCTTACTGCTCTGCTGACATCTTGTTACTCCTTGGGCGTCAGGCTGGCATCTCTCCTTACCCTTTCTTCTCTTCAGTTCGAATGTCCCGCCTAACCTTATTGTCAAACAGCTTTATTTATCAACCAGTCAGAGCAACACATACTCACAGCATACAGAAAGACATCCCACAACACTGGTCATGCCAGGATTAAAAAAAAAACAAACAAAAAAAAAACCAAAAAAAAAACATGACCCTGTGACCCTTCTTCGGTTCCTTACAACAGTAAGAAGCACTAAGCACTGCCTCCTTCCGACCCGATAGCCCAAGGTCAGGGGTGGAGCAAATGCCACTACAACTCAATACACAGTCTCTAGTCCATCTGATATGCCAGCTGACAAGGCACCTTCTACCAGCAGTCTTTTTTTTTTTTTTTTTGGTTTTTCGAGACAGGGTTTCTCTGTGTAGTTTTGCGCCTTTCCTGGAACTCGCTTTGGGGATGGGGCTGGCCTCGAACTCACAGAGATCCGCCTGCCTCTGCCTCCCGAGTACTGGTACCAGCAGTCTTTTATGATTTGCTTCTGGCTCAGATAATTGCCTCAAGGTTTGCTTTAGGTTGTGGTTGTCTTTCACAAAGTATCAGGTTTGAAAAGTAAGTTAAGCAAAAGGGATACTCTTGGTAAAGGTAGCATTCTCCAGTCTCCTCTTGAGGCACTGTTCCAATGATTAGGACATACAGTGAACTAAAATGGGATCCCTTTGTCTTCTTGCAGGTTACATATATGGAAGAAGAGCGGAATTTTACCACCGAGCAAGTGACTGCTATGCTTTTGTCCAAACTGAAGGAGACAGCAGAAAGTGTTCTTAAGAAGCCTGTGGTAGACTGTGTTGTTTCAGTGAGTATGGCTCTGTGGTTTTAGGGACCTGCCTTAAGCAGGGAGAAGAAAGCTGTTAATTGCAAGGGAAAATTGTTATGTCGGGTTGTAGTGGTAATTTTGAGAAGTTACTGTTTTTGAGCCTGGGTCTTGTTGTGTAGCCCAGGCTGCCCCAGTAACTAAATGTTCATGATTTGTTTCTCCCATGTGTTGGGATTGCAGTAACACCACGCCCAGAAACCTAGGCTTCATTTTCTTTTTTCTGTTGTTGGAGACAGGATCTCACTGTGTAGTCTGGCCTGGCCTGGGAGTTTGCTTTGTTCACCAGGCTGGTCTTGGACTTGGTTGCCATTCTCCTCCCTGTGCCTCTTGTTTCTGCTGGAATTCCAGGCATGGTCCAGCCTGCCTGGCTAAAAGGACAGGGATCATCATCACCCTACTCACTCTGCCAATCTGAGCCACTTTGGGGCTCTGTTGTACCTATGTAAATCTTGTCTCTTTCAAGCCTCATTTGAAACCCCACTTTTCCCTAGGTTTTTTTTTTTTTTTTTCTTCAGCACCCAGTGTAGTGCCTGGGGACAGGATAGCTACTTTATTGACTGAGTTGAATGTTAGATGTAAATGTCTGCCTCCATTTTTTCCCCTCCTGCCTGTATCTGGTACTAAAAGCACACTTGTCTTCTATGTGTCCTTGTTTAGATGGGAGCCTGGCTACTTGTAGTAGTCTCATGTGTTGTGTGGTGGGTCTAGAGGCTGTTGAAGTGTGGGTGTCCATATTGTCTTTGCCATGTAGTGCCCTCATTCTGTCATTTTTATCTCATTGTCCTAGTTAGGTCACTGTTGCTGTGATGAAACACCATGATCGAAAGCTTGGAGGATAGGGCTTATTTGGCTTTTGCTTCCACATTACTTTTGATCACTGAAGGAAATCAGGACAGGAAGTCCAAACAGGGCAGGAACCTGAAGATGGGAGCTGATTGCAGAGGCCACAGAAGAGCTGCTTACCGGCTTGCTCCTCATGACTTGTACTGCCTGTTTTGTTATAGAGCCCTGGACCACTAGCCACAATGGACCAGATCCTTCCCCATATGTCATTAATAAAGAAAATGCCTTGCAGGCTTGCCTGCAGCTCCCATCGTATGGAAGCATTTTCTTAGTTGAGGCTCCCTTCTCTCAGATGACTTTACGTGTATCAAGTTGACATAAAACTGTCCACCACACTGATGTTTTAGCTCTTTGGCCATTTTGTCTTCATAGGTTTTTTTTTGTTTTTTTTTTTTTTTTTAACATGGCAAAGCAGGGCTGTTGGGTGCCCTTTTCATTGCAGCTTCCTTGGTTATCTAGCAAATTGGATAGTAGTTATGTTTCACAATTTGGGGATTGGAAGAATAGAAAGGCTGCCAGGAGCCCAGGTGAAGTGCTTGATTGCTTATAGTGTAGTGGTTTTTCAACCTGTGGGTCATGACCCCTTTGAGGGGGGTCTAATGACTTTTACAGGGGTCCTATATCAGATATCCTAAATATCAGGTATTTATATTAGTGTTTATAACAGTAGCAAAATTGCAGTTACAAAGTAGCAGTGAAAGTCATTTTATGGTTGGGGTTCAGCACAGCATGAAGAACTATATTAAAGGGCTGCAGCATTAGGAAGGTTAAGAACCACTGGCTTAGTGACTGAGGCATGGGTTACTGTGTCATGTTCTTCCTACCATTCCTAAGCTCTCCGTTGGTCTTCTAGATTTGACCTCTTTCCTTTGTCTAATGCCCCTTCCTTTGACTGAGTAATGCTGAAATGACATTTATATGAAATAGTGAGATGTCTAAATGGCCTTTTTTCCCTCGTTTTGAGGGGGTTGGGTTTTAAAATATGGTTTTCTGAGTCTTGCTTAAAAGTCTTTAAGGCCTCACTGAGTTTGAGTGATGTGCTGGGAGGAGTCTCCTGTAGTAGACAGAGGGAGAAGGTGATGAAGCAGCTTATGGAAGAAATGAGGCACAGGTGCACTTCATTCTTTCAGCGTAAGGTGTAAGAACATGTGTGGCACATTCTCCATCCAGAAAATGTGGCCTGAGTCTAGAAGTTCACTGTTGTTATTTTGGGTTTGGTCCCACAAGTATCCTACCCAGCATGCACATCATTCTGGACTTCAGGAAAGCAGGTAGTCAGCACAAACTTCGTTGCTTGTATAAGTAATTTAGTACAGTCAGCTATTTTTTAATTGGTAAAGGGGGAAAAATTCCATCAATTTACTTTTCAATTGTTTTTTTAGGCAGGGTCTGTTTAGCTCAAGTTAGCTTTAAACATGTTGGCTTCAGAGCCTCCTAAGTGCTGGCATTACAGATATGCACCTCCACAATTAGCCTGAGGGAACTATTTATTAATCTAGTTTCTGGATGCCAGGCAAGGACCAACTTTTTGCAGGCCTTTGTAAAGAGAGTGGTTTCTATTGTAGGTTCCTTGTTTCTATACTGATGCAGAACGCCGGTCAGTGATGGATGCCACACAGATTGCTGGTCTCAATTGCCTGCGGTTAATGAATGAAACAACTGCAGGTAAGAGGCATTAATGAAACAGCTGCAGATGACTCTTGTTAACTCCTACTCTTGGACTTGTTGAATATTGAAGCTGGTTAACATTGAACGCTGTGATGTTAATGTTCCACATGAATAAATTATGCAGTGCTTATAAAGAATTTGATTCTGTCTCCAACACAGTACACAGTGTAGCTGGTTTCTGAGATAGAAACCTGTAATTGCCTACATGAATTTTAGCACTTAGAAGATACTATGTTGAACTTTCTTTTCCTTCTTGTGTAGTTGCCCTTGCATATGGAATCTATAAACAAGATCTTCCTGCCTTAGAGGAGAAACCAAGAAATGTAGTTTTTGTAGACATGGGACATTCTGCCTATCAAGTTTCCGTGTGTGCATTTAATAGAGGAAAACTGAAAGTAAGTATCTTCCCAGAGGACTGGAAATTACTGTTACATTAATTAATTAAATATAACTGTTACAAATTTTTGAGTGACAAATTAGTTACAGCTTTTTTGTCATCAATGGAAGCTTGTTATGAAGCCACCTGAGCTGGAACGCAGGTTATTATAGTGGGAGTGGAGGTTGTGGGCCCAAACAAGTTGTACCTAGAGTCGGTGTGGTGTGAAGTAAAGAGCATGAGCCTTGAGCCGAGGTTTTCTAAGTTCTGTAGTTATGGCTTTCCTACTTGTGCTCTGTGGGGAGCAGCGCATCCTGGTGGGCTTCTTCAGAGCATTTTCCTTATCTCCTCTCTTAGTGAATTGAGGGATTGAGAGGATGTGGAAGGTGCTCTTGAGATTTGGAGAGTTGTAGAAAGAAGAAGACGTTGAACCAGATTTTGTATGCTGAAGAACTCTAGAGAGATGCTTACACTAGTCTAGGTTTCTGAAGCGCTGCTGTAGACAGAACTGTTGAGAGGCAAGCACTACCACAGCACGAGTGTCTGGTTCCTTTGAGGAACTCCACAGTAAGGAGAAGACTAGCTGTCCTCGGGCTAGGTTACTTTATCTCATGACTGGTTAGTTACTTGAGTTGTGTTTCGAGGTTTTGGTGCCAAGGTTTAAATTTGCTCCCCCCCACCCCCAGTCCCATGGTGTGGTAGGAGGGACTAATGTGAAAAAAATATTTGGTAGTTTTGGAGGGTATGCTCGTTGTACTGTGTTTTGAATAATAGACTTGGTTCTGTTTTTCTTTCTCTATGGTCTACTTGTTTTCAATTACCAAACATTTATTGGGAAATGAATATTTAGAAGGTTTATAGCCAAATTATGGGTCAGATATAATTGTCAATGTTCATAAGATTTTTTTTTTTTTTTTTTTTTTGGTTTTTCGAGACAGGGTTTCTCTGTGTAGCTTTGCGCCTTTTCCTGGAACTCACTTGGTAGCCCAGGCTGGCCTCGAACTCACAGAGATCCGCCTGGCTCTGCCTCCCGAGTGCTGGGATTAAAGGCGTGCGCCACCACCGCCCGGCTGTTCATAAGATTTTTAAGCTGGCCATGGTGGCTTATGACTGTAATCCTAGCCCTTGGGAAACACAGGCAGGTGTATCATACTAAGATTAGTCTGGTCTACAAAGCAATTCTCAGGCCAGACAGGACTGTGTAGTGAAAAAACAGAGCTAGAAGGACTGGTGAGATGGTTGAGTAGATAAGGAAGGCTTGCTACCAAGCTTGATGACCAGAGTTCAATTCCCAGCACTCACAGGGTAGGAGAGAACTGAGTCTTGAAAACTACCCTCTCCATACATATGTGCTCCCCCAATAAATATGTAAATAAATACATTAAAATATAAAAAAAACCACTGATAGAATTATTTCTAAAAATCCGACACTTTCATATTTAAAAAAAGTAAATTAGATTTTGAGGCAAGGTCTCACTTGGGCTGACGCTGGCCACAAATTCAGCAAGCATTCTGTCTCAGACCAGATTTCTGGGATTGCAGGTGTGCACCTTTACCCCTGGCTTTATCTTAACTTGGATTGAGTATTGAACCTAGGGCCTCAGGCTTGCTTAGCAAATGCTCTTCTGCTGAGCTACATCCTCCGCCTACATTGTAGTGAAGAAAATAAATCTGGAATCGCGGTACTCAAATCTTAATGTCCAATTTTTCAGTAAACTTATTAAGAAAATTTCTTACATGTAGTGTTCATTAAAGAGGTTACGTTTTAGCCGGGCAGTGGTGGTGCACACCTTTAATCCCAGCAGTCAGGAAGCAGAGGCAGGAGGATCTCTGAATTTGAGGCCAGCCTGGGCTACATAGTTTGTTCCAGGGCAGCCAGAGCTAAACAGAGAAACCCTGTCTTGAGGCCCCCCCCCCCCAAAAAAAAAAGGTTTACCAGTTTTGTTCCCTCACAAAAATGTCGATTGGCTTGTCATCTCTGACTGGATCTGCTTTGGGTCTAATACTTAAAATTCTACAGATCTGTCAGTGCACCTGTGCCATACTTAAGTGTGGCACATAGAAACAGGGTTGTGCTTTAGACTTCTGCAGCTTTCTGACAGTGAACTGATTAGCTCGACACTGTTTTGTTAGTAGTTTTGGGACTAGAAGTGTTTGGCCTTGATTGTGAAACTCCTGTTGAGTTAGATTGGTGGGAAATGGTGGAGATGTACAGTGGTCTCTACCACGGTAGGAGTTAGCAGCCTGAAGATGGTCTCCCCTTTCTGCAGCTTCCGCAGAATGTGTAATGTAGAGAGGTTTTTTTTTTTATATTTTATTTTATGTGCATTGATGTTTTTGCCATGGGTGTCAGGTCCCCTGAAACTGGAGTTACAGACAGATGTGAGCTGCCATGTGGGTGCTGGGAATTGAACCTGGGTCAGTCAGTACTCTTACCCCCTGAGCCATCTCTCCAGCCCTAATAGAGAGTATTTTTTGCTCACCTTGTAGTTGAGACTGGTCTGGAGTTCACAGGCTTATGACAGTCATCTTGTCTCAGCCTCTGGATGGGGTTTGCATTAGTGGAGTGAGCCATATACCCTTTTCAGAGTGTTCTTATGTGTGTGTTTTTATTTCTATTTATTTTTGTTTTTTTTTTTTTCCCCACAAAGAAAGAAAATAAGTTTATTTAGTACGTTGTCAGGGCAACTGGCTGGGCAGTGATAAAAGGTCTGCCTGTTTCATAGTGTAATATTAACAAGGATTATGTGCTACAGCCTTATTTTCAGCCTTGATAAACATACTTCTGGCATTTAAAATATAGAGTATGCATCATTGTAAACTTTAAAATCGGTTAACTTGAATTATCTTTTTTCCCTTGAAGGTTTTGGCGACAGCTTTTGATACAACACTGGGAGGCAGAAAATTTGATGAGGTGTTAGTAAATCACTTCTGTGAAGAATTTGGAAAGAAATACAAGCTAGACATAAAATCTAAAGTCCGTGCTTTATTACGACTGTCTCAAGAGTGTGAGAAACTCAAGAAACTGATGAGTGCGAATGCTTCAGACCTCCCTTTGAGCATTGAATGTTTTATGAATGATATTGATGTATCCGGAACTATGAATAGGTAACCATATTAATTCTTAACGTTAAATGAACTGTGACCTTCCATTTTGTGTAACTGATGATTAAAGTCATGGTGCTTAGTGTGTTAAAAATGTCGTCTGGGACCCAGTTTTTATGTAACAGTTGGATCTGGTGGTTCTAGTAATGGAGACAGAAAGTTTAGTAACTTTCTGGTAACTTAATGTTCTGGTAACAGTTCTGGTAGCTTAAATGTTCCTGAAAGTTACTAGTTAAGTACACATTAGACACAAATTACTAGTTTTCAGAAAACTAGCGAACCATGCTTTAATGCTTAAATAGGGTAAATTTAGTTAAGGAACAAATGAAAAATAGTTCTTTTTGAGTAGTTCAGGATCATTTGAGGGCAGTAGCCCTTTTTTGTACAACACTGCAAGAATTCTGGGTAATTGACATTTAAGGCTGTTTCAGAAACACTCAGTGTTATTGTTGCCTGATTATGTTGCTTGGATGAGGGAGTGAGATGTTCTTTTGGCTGTTAAATCCATTGGTAAAATTCAGGCAAGACTGATGACTTGTTTGGGAAAGTGAGCCTGAGTGACCCTTAAAAAATTTGAGATGGTATTTACTGTTGACCAGTGTCCAAGTTTGTTCTTGCTTACCCTTTTCTCCTGCTTGTCTTTATAGAGTGCGGGGCCTCTCCTCCACTATCCCAAATATGTGAATGTGTGTGCATCTGTGTGTGAGAGAGAGAGACTCTGAGATTGAGGGTAGGCCAGTATGTTTCAGATATTTGTTAGTCAAATGCTGTTTATAAGAGTTAAGTAGGTGAGTGTGTTTAGAATCCGATTTGCCTGTATGCTATTTTTAAAATGTTAATTTTTATGTGTATGGGTGCTTTGCTTGCATGTCTGTGGACCACATACACACTTTTCCCGTGGAGGCCAGAAGAGGCTGTTGAATCTCTGGGAGTAGAATTAGAGACAGTGTGAGCCACATTGTGGGTGCTAGGAATTGAACCTGGGTCCTCGAAGAGTGGCTAGCGCTTTTAACTGCTGAACCATCTATCCCTCTAGCCCTGAATGCTGCTTTGTTGTTAAGAAACAGGTTGTTTTCCAACGCCCCCCCCCCCTTCCAGTGGAAAACAAAAAGCAGGTTGTATTGTATCTACATGTGAGAACACAGACTATTTTAGACTCTATTTTATAGGTTTCATTTTTAAGTCTTCAGTTGACTACCTATTTTTGAAATGAATGAGATTAGATTACTTTAATATTATAGTATATCTTCTGAATTAATGTTGTCTTTAGTTTTAAAAAATATGAGGTAAAGGCTAGAGGTGTGGCTCAGTAGGTAGAGTGCTTGGTTAGCATTCCTGAAACTCTGGGTTCAGATACCAGCACCACATAATAGGTTGATACATTGGAGGACCAGAAGTCCAATAGCAGGCCAGAGAGATGGCTGGACAAGTAATAGCGATTGCTCTCAAGCCTTGTGACCCGAGTTGAATCCTCAGGATCCACATGTGGAAAGAGAGAGCCTCCACATGTGTGTCATCACAAATGTAAACGAGTCCAAACACTAACTAAAAGGCAATAGTTCAAGGTCGTCCTTAGCTACATAGTTTGAGGCAGCATAGTCTCCATGAGACATTGCTGTCACAAACCTGCCATCAAAGACAGGCGGATCTGCTGCACACGGTAGGGACAGGGGAGGTGTCACTTCATTTAATCATCAGTCTGGGTAGATGTGATATCTCCAGGTGTTAAGTCAGCCAGCTGCTTGATTGTGTACCATCAAATGAGATTGAGGCCAGCCTGGGACATGTAAGATCCCATCTTAAAAAAAAAAAAAAAGTGGATGTACACACCAAACAAGCACTTAAAGGACCAGTTAGTGGTATTTAGCACCTGCAGTTTTGTGAAGCATCACTTGTATGAAAAGGAAACAGTCACTGCAAGATAAAGTCCCAGAGAGTGGTGGTGGTGGTGGTGGTGGTGGTGGTGGTGGTGGTGGTGGTGGTGCAGGTGCAGCATACCTTTGATCGGTGGTGGTGGTGGTGGTGGTGGTGGTGGTGGTGGTGGTGGTGGTGGTGGTGGTGGTGGTGGTGCAGCATACCTTTGATCCCAGCACTTGGGAGGCAGAGGCAAGAGGATCTCTGAGTTTGAGGCTAGCCTGGTCTACAGAGTGAGTTTCAGGACAGCCAGGGCTACACAGAGAAACCCTGTCTCAAGAAAAAAAAAAGATTTCCAGAGCGTGTAAGCAGTTCTTGGTTCTGGTTCAAATTTCATCTGTGTTTTCTATATACATCACAGCAGTGGAGTCATGAATGTGTATGGCTGTGTGTTTTACATGATGGTTTTGAGGTTCATTCATGAGGAAGTGTGTACCAGTACATTGTTGTCGCTTCTGGCAAATGGTGTTGGATTGTGTGGCTATGTCATGTACCCTTTATCTACCAGTTCATGTGCATTCACATATTTCCACCCTTAACTGTGAATGAGTGGTGTGAGGTGGGCATTTGTGAACAGATGCTTGAGTATCTTTTCAGTTTTTTGAGGTGTGCACCTAGGAGTGGAATTGTGTTTGCTCATGTGGCAGTTCTTAAAACCCTTTTTTAAAAACAAAAAACATCCAGGTGGTGGCAGCGGCAGCACATGCCTTTCATCCCAGCACTTGGGAGACAGAGCCAGGTGGATCTCTGTGAGTTCGAGGCCAGCCTGGTCTACAGAGTGAGTTCCAGGACAGGCACCAAAGCTACACAGAGAAACCCTGTCTGGAAAAAAAAAAAAAAAACCAACCAAACAAAAAACATAAAACATATATGTATTGGCATTATGTTCTTGGGAGTGTGCAAGCCATTTTTAGGAGCCATCTCCAATACCTCTAGCCTTAAATTAAGCTTTTTTTTTTTTTTTTTTTTTTGGTTTTTCGAAACAGGGTTTCTCTGTCTAACAGCTCTAGCTGTTCTGGAACTTGCTTTCTAGACCAGGTTGGCCTCAAACTCACCTATTTGTGCCTTCCAAGTGCTGGGGTTAAAGGCGTACGCCACCACCAGGCTAAATTAAGCTTTCTTGAGTCATAGTTCAGTGTTTTCCAGCTTTGCTTTTCTTGAGGAACCTTGCCTGTCTGGGATGTAACATTCTCTCTTGAGTCCTCCAGGGAATTACTACTGGCTTGTTTTGCTCTTAAACTCCTTGTGGTTAGTTTTCCTATCTAATGTTCATTCATTTGTAACTTGTTTTCACTTCCTTTTTTTTTTTTTTTGTAGCTGTTGGTACTTGACATATAAAAATCACCATTTTTAAATGTCCAGTGTAGTGGTTTTATACATGTTCATAGATGTTCAGTCATGATCACTGTCTAATTGTGGGATTTTTCTGTCCTCCAAAAAGAGACGGAAACTCAGTCCCAATGGCAATCACTATGGGTTCCTTCCAATCTCAAGGCAGCTGTCAATATACTGTCTTGTGGATTTGCTTGTTCTTTTGTGCCTTTTTAGTTGAAATAAGTATTTCTAGACCCTTGTCAGCTTTTGTCCAGATGCTTTTACTTTTGTGAAACAGTTGTCAGCTCTGGTGCTGGTTGGCTTGGAACTCAACTGTAATGCAAGCTGGTCTACTCCCAAAAACTAGCATTACATCATGGCTATTTCTCTCTCTCTGTGTGTGTGTGTGTGTGTGTGTGTGTGTGTGTGTGTGTGTGTGTGTGTGTGTGTGTGTGTGTATTGAGACAGGGTTTCCCTTTGTAGCTCTGTCCCAGGCTGGCCTTGAACTTGGAGATCCACCTGCTTCTGCCGTCTGCCTCCCAAGTACTGGGATTAAAGGCATGCACCACACCAACCTGTTGAACTTTTTTCCCCCCTGACAGGTCATTGTGTATCTTAGGCTGACTGAGGATGACTTTGAGCTCTGCTTTTCTTTCATGTACTACTCCCAAGTGCTAGGATGACAGGCATGTGCTACTACCAGTACCTGTTTATGTATTGTGGGCAGGAACCCAGGCCTACATGCATGCTAAACAAGCACTGTACAACTGATCACCACCCCCACCCCTTGGGAAACAGTGTTTAAATGGCTTTTCTTCTTCTTTTTGACTCTACTGTTATTTTCTTGCCCAGTTTGGAGTTGGTTATTAGTGGTTTTTTTTTTCTCTCCTTACAGTTTCTTTTTCCGTTTAAGAGAAGCTTTTTTTTTTCTTTCTGTTCAAAAGATTTGTTTGCGTGTTTGCCTGTTTGTATGTAGGTGCACCATGGGCATTCCTGGTGCCCTCAGAGGTGGGAAGAGGGAGGATGTTGGATTCTCTGGAAGTAGAGCTGTGGTTATGAGCTACCATATGGATTTTTGAAAAAACAGTAACTGTTAATCTCTGAGCAGCATCTACATTTAAGGAAGCTTTTAGGTTTGCTCTCCGCTGCTGTCCTGTCGGGGCTTTTATACTCTCTCGCTGTGGATATGCAAACCTCTCCTGACTTAAGCTATTGTTGGCCTCCTCAGTTCCAGTTCTTTGAGGTTTTCCTAGCACCCCCCCACCTCTTCACGGCCTATTATTTTTCTAACGCTGATAGTGATTGTAGCCGGCAGTAGTTTGCCTTTATTTAGAATCTCGTGTACACAGATGTTTTTATAGCAACGCTATTTGTGATCGGCCCAGAGTGGCAGCAGCTCACATACACATCAACTGGTGAATAAACAAAACGTGGCTTGGCTCATTACTGGATTATTGTTGGCAGTTTGAAACATGTAGATAGGGAGCTGGAGAGATGGCTCAGTGGTTAAGAAAGAGCATGTGTTACTTTTGCATAGGTCCTGGGTTCAGTTCCCAGCACCAATGTGGGTTATAAGCTCACAATCGCTAATCCCAGTTCCAGGGGATTCAATATCCTTTTCTGATCTGAGGGCACATGGTGCGTGTACATACATGCAGGCAAAATGCCCATACACATAAAATAATAAATCTTTAAAAAAGTAAAATGAGGGGCTGGAGAGATGGCTCAAAGGTTAAGAGCACTGGCTGTTCTTCCAGAGGTCATGAGTTCAATTCCCAGCAACCACATGGTGGCTCACAACCATCCATAAAGAGATCTGGTGCCCTCTTCTGACCTGCAAGTGTTTATGCAGACAGAACACTGTACACATAATAAATAAATCTTCAAAAAAAAGTAATAAAATGAAGATATATAATAAATCATGGATGGACCTTGAGACATGCTAGTCGTTAGACTTTGAAAGAACTCAGTGACATACTTCTGTTTATATAAAATGTTTAGAATAGACTTAAGGGTAGAAAGTATATTCACTATTTGCTTGGACCTTGAGTGTGTATAAGATTTAAATGATAATAGGGCAATGAGAAAAATTTGTGTTTTCTTGATGTGGGTTCTCATTGTAGCACAGGCTGGCCCCAGATTTGCCATGTGTACTAATGACTGCCGTTCTCATTCTCTTATCTCGTCTTGAGTGATGGAATTACAGCTGTGTTCCGCTTCACCTGGTTTATAGGATACTAAGGAGCATAATGTGTGCATACATATGCCTGTCCCAGTGCATAGTGGAGGTGGGAGGGAAAGTTGTAGCGCCAGTCTCTCCATCCCATTGTTGTCGGCTATGGCTCAAACTCAGGCTGCTGGGCTCGCGTCTGTGCTGGGCACCTTTCCCAAGTGAGGAGCCATCTCACTAGCCTCACCTTTTACTTTTCTTTCTTTTTTAAAAAAAACGTAAGGTAGTTTGTTTGTTTGCCCCCCCCCCCCCTTTTTTTTGTGGGAGAGAGACCCTCACTCTATAGCTCACACTGGCCTAGAACTCAGTCTTTACCCAAGCTGGCCTAAAACAGCAATCTTCTTTTTTTTTTTTGGTTTTTTTTTTTTTTTTTTGGTTTTTCGAGACAGGGTTTCTCTGTGTAGCTTTGCGCCTTTTCCTGGAACTCACTTGGTAGCCCAGGCTGGCCTCGAACTCACAGAGATCCGCCTGGCTCTGCCTCCCGAGTGCTGGGACTAAAGGCGTGCGCCACCACCGCCCGGCAAACAGCAATCTTCTTGATGTGTTTCCCAAGTGCTGGGATTAGAGGTGAGCCACCACATCCATCTTAGTCCCTCCACCCACCCCCCCCACACACAGGGTTTCTCTTTGGAGCCTGTCCTGAAACTTGTTCTGTAGACCAGGCTGGCCTTGAGCTCACAGAGATCTGCCTGCCCCTGCCTTCCAAGCGCTGGGATTAAAGGCATGGAACACCATTGCCTGTCTAGTTTAGATTTTTTAGTTAACAAACAGCTGTCACTGCAGCTCAGTTTTTTTGAGCGAGACATGAGGCTGTGAGAAATGGTGGTGGGGGGGTTTCCAGCATGGTGCTCAGTGAAAGAGCCAACCAGAGAATGCTCTGTACTCTCTGAGGCCAATGTGTGACGTAATGGAAAAGACAAAACTGTGGACACGTGGACCCAAACAAAACAAACAGAGCAAAACCCAAAGTAGTTTAAAAAAAAAAAATCCAAGAAAACCAAAAACTAGCCAAGCAAACAAAAAGAGCTGGTGTTGTTGCCAAGGATTCTGGAGGAAAGGGGGGAATGGATAGGAGCAATGTGCCCTGTTTCAGACCTTGTAGACAGCTGGCAGAAACTCCTATGTCAGTATTCATTTGTGCACAAGGTGTGGATAGAGGAACTGCTGGGAGGAAGGTGTGTGTATATGGAAGTTGTATTTTTCTCTAATTCTAATCTGATCTCATAAAGAATAGTTTTATGTCCGTTAGTGGTCTCTTCTGTTTTTGGTTTTTCGAGACAGAGTTTCTCTGTGTAGCTTTGGTGCCTGTCCTGGATCTCTCTCTGCAGACCAGGCTGGCTTCAGACTCACAGAGATCCACCTGGCTCTGCCTCCCGAGTGCTGGGACTAATGGTGTGTGTCACCACCACCCAGCTCTGTCTCTTTTCTTACCCAAGCTGACACTGAACTTTTTTTGTCTTGTTTTACCTATATCGAGTATTTCATATAGATGAAGTAATAGATGTCCTTTGTTTGGCTTCTTTCCAGCACAGCACTTCAGGTTTTTCTTGATGTAGTACCATGCATCAGTTCCTTTTTTTTTTTTTTTTAAACATTTATTTTTGGTTGTGAGCCTAGCCTTTTTTTTTTTTTTTTTAAAGATTTATTTATTTATTATGTATACAGAAGAGGGCACCAGATCTCATTATAGATGGTTGTGATCAGTTCCTTTTTGTTCCTGAGTACCATTGATAGGCATTTGAATTGTTGATTTCTCTGAATCATGCTGCCTCTTGTGCCTATCATGTACATGTTTTTCATGAACTTACATTTCAGTTTTGTTTGTGTGTACCTAGTGTGGAATTGCAGTCATGTGGCAATGCTGTGTTCAGTATTCGAAATAGAAAGCCAAACTTTGGGGGTTTGTTTTACATTGCTCAGGGCTGCAGTTTTCACATCCTTGCCAGTGCTTAGATTACCTGATGTTTGGTGATAAAGCTTTCTCTTCTACACACAATTGAAATTGGTTTAACCTATTGTTTCTTTAATAGAGGCAAATTTCTGGAGATGTGTGATGATCTCTTAGCAAGAGTGGAGCCACCACTTCGTAGTGTCTTGGAACAATCCAGTAAGTATTTTTGTCATTGAATTGTTTGTATTTCAGATTCTGGGAATGTTTAACGTGTTATCATCTTTTCCTCTCTATCAATTATTTGCTGAATGAACACTGTCAGTTCTATGCTTCAATAAGCTTTATCTGCTCTTTGGAATGTTTCTTCTCCCTAAAGCCTTCTATGAAGAGTACAGTGTTTTCTCCAAAAAATCCCATTTTTGCCTCAAACACAGAGATATAAATTTCCCTTAAAAGGTATTTGCAGTGCTTGTGTGGTGGTCTTATAAACTTACTGTCAGTGAGTCCTTGGTTAGCTCAGTGTGTGTGTCTGAGATGGCTCAGTTGGTTGGTAAAAGCTTGTTGCTCAGCCATGAGTGCCTTTGTTGGGCTCTCCAGCACCTACACAAAACCCAAGTGCAGCTGTACTCCCTTGTAACCTCCAGCACTGGAGCTCCAGGTTCAGAGGAAGATTCTCAAAAAAGGGGGCTAGAGAGATAACTCTGAAGTCAGAACAGGCATTGTCTGTTCTACCAGAGGACCCAGGTTTAAGTCCTAGCATCCACATGACCCCCTTTTCTTTTTCTTTTCTTTTTTTTTTTGTTTGTTTTTCGAGACAGGGTTTCTCTGTAGCTTTGCGCCTTTCCTGGGGAACTCACTCTATAGTCCAGGCTGGCCTCAAACTCACAGAGATCCTCCTGCCTCTGCCTCCCAAGTGCTGGGATTAAAGGCGTGGCCCACCACCGCCTGGCTGACCCCCTTTTCTGACCTCCGTTGGCATACACCTGGTTCACAGATGGATGTCATGAACAGACACATACAAAACACCCGTATACATAATAAAATAGTTTAGGAAAACAAAGTAGAGGATGGAGGTGGGGAGGTAGTGCATACCTATATTTTAAGGATGTTGGGGGGGAAGTGCAGAAAGATCAGAAGTTTAAGGTCAAAATCAAGTTTAAGCCTAGCCTGGGCTAGAGATCCTGTCTCAAAAAAATCCCAGCACTCAGGAGGCAGAGGCAGGTGGATCTCTGTGAGTTCCAGGAAAACCAGCATTCCATAAAGAGATACTGCCTCAGAAAAATGAAAATAAACAGATTAATAAATATACAAGAATAAAGTGGAAAGTGAGGACAAAGACATCACATGTTGACATGAGCAAAGGAAGACATGCAAACCATGTGTATGTTCTGTTTTTGTTTTTTACAACAGGGTTTCTCTGTGTAGCCCTGGCTGTCCTGGAACTCACTCTGTAGACCAGGCTGGCCTCAAACACATGTATATTTTATAAGATATTTTAAGTGTTTCAGACTTTGAGGCTCATAGTTCACTTACGAATACATTATTAACAAACAGTTTTGGATACAATGTTTACCTTTTTGTTGGTCACTAATTCGGGATGTTGATGTAATGTTAGCTCAGCATTGGCTTGGGTCTTTTTGTTTTCTTTTTGAGACAGGGTTTTTCTGTAACAGCCCTGGTGGCTGTCAACAACAAACAAAAGTATGTTTTTCGAGACAGGGTCTCTAGCCCTGGCTGTACTAGAACTCACTTTGTAAACCAGACTGGCCTCAAACTCACAGAGATCTGCCTGCCTCTGCCTCCCAAGTGCTGGGATTAAAGGCATGCGCCACCACTGCCCGCCTTGGGTCTTAAGTCAGTGATGACAAGTGTGTTTTTGCTTTGGACTTTGGGAGTGTCATATTTTCCATGCTCCCCATTTTTCCTTCTGAGGTAGAGGTGGAGGAGTCTGAGGTGTATTGCCTAGGCTGGTCTGGAATTCTACTCAAGCCAGTTCCCCTTCCTCAGCCTCCAGCTAAAACTACAGGCACATACCTAATGGCCTGGCTGCAGCCTGTTTGTTTTTTGAAAACTGAGTAGAGGTCAGAGGACAACTAAGCAGAGTTGATGTTCTCCTTCCATGTTTGCGTGGATTCTGGAGACTGAACTCTCCATTTGACAGGCCTTCTCAGCATGTGCCTCGACCCACTGAGCCACCTCACCAGCCCTGAAGCCAGTGTCTTTAACGCTCTTCTGAAGAGATGGTGGTGGTTCGGGAAAGTGTGACTGGTAAATCCCATTTGAGGCCCACATGTGGCCGATAGGCTGGAATGTGGGGTTCCTTGCTAGTTGGTTGTGTGACACTGTTGGGCACTCAGGACCTATACAGGGCAAAGTGTAGTATGTTTGGCCAGTGGCTGGAATGTGGGGTTCCTTGCTAGTTGGTTGTGTGACACTGTTGGGCACTCAGGACCTATACAGGGCAAAGTGTAGTATGTTTGGCCAGTGCCTTACAGACCCCACTGTTGTACTGCTCTTCTCTATTATCTTGAGAATCAAGGTGACTACTTTCCCCAGAGGCCACCTGCTGTGAGTGTGTACGTGTGTATTGGGATGGGGACGTGAGGGAGCAAAGTTTTAATATGACTGTGGATTAGATCCTGTGAGCTCTTACTACTTTTTTCCTTCATTGTAAAATACTGATTTAAAGATTCTTTTATAAATGTCTCATTGTTGTGGCGTAGAGTTAAAGAGAGAAGATATTTATGCAGTGGAGATAGTTGGTGGTGCCACACGAATTCCTGCAGTGAAAGAGAAGATCAGCAAATTTTTTGGTAAAGAACTTAGTACAACATTAAATGCAGACGAAGCTGTCACTCGAGGCTGTGCGCTGCAGGTGAGTTTGCATTTGTTCGTATGTCATAACAAAAACATATCTACCTGTTAACCTGAGGGTAATTTCAAGGTGTAAGATTCTGATGTACATAAAGGTATTGGTTGTGTAACGTGTTAGAAGATGAGTTAAGAAGCTGGGCGGTGGTGGCACACACTTTTAATCCCAGTACTTGGGAGGCAGATGCAGATGATCTCTTGAGTTTGAGGCCAGCCTGGTCTACAGAGTGAGTCCAGGACAGCTAGGGCTATACAGAGAAACCCTGTCTAGAAAAATACCCAAATCACAACAGCAGAAAAACAAAGCTGGTGTGTGTGTGTGTGAGAGAGAGAGAGACAGACAGACAGACAGAAACACAGAAACACATAGCTCTAAGCTAGAGCTGTTGGGATTGGTTGAATTGTCTTGTGAAGTAGTGGACTTCAAGTTCATGGGAACTGGTAAAGCAAAGCTAGGTTATGTTGTTGATGGTTTTTACTCTTACTCTTTTGGCTTTTTGTTCTTTTGGGGGCCCCACCAACCAGCTCCCAAATAACCCACACCTGGAAGCTTATTATTTCTTATGGATGCCTGGCCTTAGGTTGGCTTGTTTCTACCAGCTTTTCTTAACTTTAAATTATCCCGTTTACCTTTTGCCTCTGTGCTTTTCCTCTCTATTTCTGTATGACTGACTTTGCACTTTAGCTACTTTACAGCCACTCCAGGCCGTGGCTGACTGGGTGGCTGGCCCTAGTGTCCTCCTCTCCTTGTTCTCTTGCTGTTTCTTCCTTTTCTCCCAGATTTCTCCTATTATTTTCTCTGCCTGCCAACCCCGCATATCCATCTCCTGCCTCACTATTGGCCATTCAGCTCTTCATTAGACCATCAGGTGTTTGGACATGTGCACAGTAACACACCTTCACAGCGTTAAAGCAAATGCAACATAAAAGAATGCAACACATCTTTGCATCATTAAACAAATGTTCCATAGCATAAACAAATGTCCCACAACAAGGTTCCACAGAAAATTTGACCATGACAGCAGTTTGTAGAACTGTTCAGGTACCATTACATTACTACTGAAGATAGTAAATAAATCAGTGATTGCCTCCTGAAGTCATTGCCAATTTATAGTGTCTGTATGTGTCAATGGAATTTTTGAAATTATCATTCTAGTGTGCAATCTTATCACCTGCTTTCAAAGTGAGAGAATTTTCTATCACTGATGTCGTGGCATATCCAATATCTTTGAGATGGAATTCTCCTGCTGAAGAAGGGTCAAGGTAATACATCATTAATGCCATTTAAGTATACTCATTTGGGTGTTGAATCTAGGTAATGCATTATCCTTCCTTTATACACATATCTGTCAGGTGCATGAAACAAAGTATAAATTCATGGTCAGGAATGATAGTGAACCCTGTAATCTAGCATATGAGAGGTGGGAGGGAGGCAGGAAGATCAAGAGATAAAGGCTGTCTTCAGCTACATTGTGAGTATTCGGTCAGGCTGGGCTACATGAGTTTTTTTTTTTTTTTTTTTTTTTTTTTTTTTTTTTTAATTTATTTTACTTATTTTGTATCCAGTGTTCTACCTGCATGTATCCCTACAGGCCAGAAGAGGGCACCAGATCTCACTACAGGTGGTTGTGAGCCACCATGTGGTTACTGGGAATTGAACTCAGGATCTCTGGAACAGCAGCCAGTGCTCTTAACCTCTGAGCCATCTCCCCAGCCTGAGATTTTTTTTTTTAAAGACATGAATAAATCAGTCATTTAATTTTTTTATACTTGTTCCCATTGAGACTTTGCCCTCTTGTGTTGATTGGGTATATTCCTTTTTAAAAGTATGTTATTTTTTAAATGCACTTAATTAAATTTTTTTGTTTTTATTTGTGTGAGTCTTTTACCTGCATCTGTACCTGTATGCCATATCTGTGGTTAGTGTCTGAGGAGTCCAGAAGAAGGCATTGGATCCCCTACAAATGAAGTTAAAGATTGTTGTGAGCCAACATGTGGGTGCTGGGAATCAAACCCATGTCCTTTGGAAGAGCAGCCAGTGTTCTTAACTGCTGAGCCATCTCTAGCTTCCCTTGAATAACCTGGAAATAATAGCCAGCAAGAAGAAACTAAGACTGTTCAGTAATTATAATCCTAGGATGCATGTGTCAGAAGTGTTAAGAATATCATGAATTTGGGTTGAGGAGATAGGTGGGTAAAATGCAAGCTCAGAGACCTGGGTTCAAATCTCCACATCCCATGTAAAGCTCAGGTGAGGTGGGAGATGAGGTGGAGTTTGGTGAATCCCCAGAAGCTTTCACACTGGGAGCCTGGAATGGGCAGCAGCAAATACCAGAGGCCTTATTCTCAACTAAGGTGGAAGGCGAGGACTCAAGGCTGTCTTCTGACCTCAACATGCACACACCTATGAAACATAACCCCCCAATAAAAGAAAAGACTGGAATATTTTTTTTAAAATTTATAATACTTTATTTGTATTTTATGTACATTGGTCTTTTGCCTGCATGTATGTCTATGTGAGGGTGTCAGATCTTGGAGTTACAGACAGTTGTTAGCTGCCATGTGGGTGCTGGATTTGAACCTGGGTCCTCTGGAAAAGCAGTCAGTGCTCTTAAACCGCTGAGCCATCTCTCGCCCTGGAATATTTTAATAAAAAGGAGTTTTATGGATTTGTGGGGTTTTGTCTTTTTCTTCTAGTGACTGTGAAGTCTTCCCCAAAAATCATGCTGCTCCTTTCTCCAAAGTCCTCACCTTTTATAGAAAGGAACCTTTCACTCTTGAGGCCTACTATAGCTCTCCTCAGGATTTGCCCTATCCAGATCCTGCTATCGGTAAGTAGAATTGGAAACCTAAAACAGTAACAAAAACTTGTCTCTACTTGGGAGTACTAAAAGAAATACAGACTATTCAGAAATTTCGGTGCTTTATGACCCAAAAGCAAACATCTTCTGTCTGTAATCCTGGGTATAGAAGCAGTCAGATGGTTATTATTTAATGGAGTCTTGTATTGTGTAGCAATATTCCTGGATTGAGTGCGCATTGTGGGTGACTGACTATAATGTGGTCCTGATGAAAAGCATGATAGATCAGCTTGGTTCTAATACAGAATTTCAAGATTTGCAGAGAAATCACACAATTGTTCTACAGCATCAGTTCATCCTAGAATTTGGAACCAAGTTGACCAGAGTCTTTACAAACTGGGAATGGTTATGATTTGGAAATACTATCAAGAAGAGAGACCAAGATTTCTGTAAGATCTGTGATGTGAATGAAGAGCAGGAGCAGCTTCAGTGGCCTGCAGAAATGTGGGGAGTTGGCTGCCCTGCTTTCCATTTGTAGGATAGGGTATGACAATCATACCCGGAAGGGCTAACTTCTATATCCCTTTCTGTCTGCCTTGGGTATGCTCTCACTAACACATTGGGCTTCCATACTCTTCTCTGAAACCCGCCATAGGGCTGACCTCTCCTACTGAGTTTTTCTCTTTCTCTCTGGCGACTGCCAAGATGTACAGCTTGCCTTTCCTATAGTCTTTCTTTTAAACTCTAATAAAATTGTCTTTGGGCTTTAAGAAAACAAAACAAAACAAAACAAAAACCCAAACAAAACCTCCCAAAACAAAATTTGGTATAATGGTTAGATTTACAAATGATAATTTCTTAGGAAATGACACAAACTAGAAAATTTTGAAAGTAAATTGTAGGATTGGGCTTTTTACTGTCTGGCACAGCCTGGTTGTTTTCTTATGTATATGGAAGTTTAAGTTAAGTCTTACATTGTGCATTCTCTTGCATCTTTTTTTAAATCCCTAGCTCAGTTTTCAGTTCAGAAAGTCACTCCACAGTCTGATGGCTCCAGCTCAAAAGTGAAAGTCAAGGTTCGGGTAAATATCCATGGCATTTTCAGTGTGTCCAGTGCGTCCTTAGTAGAAGTGCACAAGTCCGAGGAAAATGAGGAGCCGATGGAGACTGATCAGAATGCAAAGGAAGAAGAGGTAACCTGGATGTTTTATATCATTACGTTGGTCGTTTGACTGGCTGACTGTACATTCCCCACTCAACCCACTTTTACATTTTACTGGAATGGAAATGAACTCCAATTGGCTCTTTCCTTCAGACCATTTGTCAGCTTAAACTACTACTGACTGTAGGAAAATGCTCTTAAGTTTGTTTTCAGAAGTACAAGATGTCCTCTGGATAAGTGTAGGTCTTAACTCTTTGTACATCAGACTCCAAAAGCTTGGCTTTCTTGCCCAGATGTGTGTATGGGGATTCAGGTACCGGCATTCTCCATAGCATCTTGGACCATTCCCATAGGCCATGCACATGGAGTTCTTGGTTTAGGTGCTCCACAAACTTCTTTATTATTGCTGCTGAAAGAATTCTCTGGGTTTCTCTTCAGCATGTACAAAGGGTATGTTTTTGAGATTGAAAATGTTGGTGTAAGGACTCTTGACAAAGTCAAGGCTCTGGGAGGAAGCATGTGGAAGGGAAGCACAAGCTTGCTTCAGAGGTTGTATTTGCCACACTCTACTGAGTGCTTTATGATTCACAAAGCTAATCTTGTAGTTGCTCTACTTCATACAAGGGTGGGCATGTTGGGCAGGACAAGTACTGCATTGTTAGGTTGAACTCCAGAGAGGAAAACTTCGTGTCCTGTGTAACTTGTGCATAGTTAGAGTTTTGAGCCTCGGTATGCTGATCACTGGGGAGTCAACGGGAATTCTATATCATGTGGCTTTGAGTACCATTGAAGGCTGCTTAGTGTTTTGTGAGAATCTTCTGGTTTCACTGTTTAATTTGACTTTTCAGAAGATGCAAGTGGACCAGGAGGAACCACACACTGAAGAGCAGCAGCCACAAACACCAGCAGAAAACAAGGTGGAGTCTGAGGAAATGGAGGTACAGGCTGTCTCTTAGAATTCTTGATGTCTTACAAACCCCCGGGGCTGCCTTGGATTGTGGTACACACTATTACTTATTTGTATGAGTTTTTAGCTATACTGCATAGTGTGTTTTGGAAAGTTAAAAGAGCATATATCGTTGATAATTTGTTACTGATGAAGCAGTGAGACAGAAGATTTTTTTTTTTCTTAAATTTTGTCAAGTGTTTTACTGTGTGTGTAGAAAAAATTTATTATTTCTCCTCTCCAGACAGACAGAAGATATGTTTTTTTCTTTTCTCAAATTTTGCCAAGTGTTTTACTCTGGTCTCTGTTTGTGTATATGTGTATGTGTCTGTGTGTGTGTGTAGAAAATACTACCTCCCCCACTCCCCAGACAGGATCTCTCTGTGTAACCCTGGAACTTGCTTAGTACTTGCTTAGTAGACTAGGCTGGCCTCAAACTCACAGAGATCCGCCTGCCTTTGCCTCCTGAGTGCCAGGATTAAAGATGTGTGCCACCACTGCTCGACATGAAGAAAAATTTTGATGGTTTATTTTTCATGAGTCTGTTCTGACATGTATGTAATTGAGAAACATCTGATTCGGTGCTAGCCAGTGTATCTACTCTGGTACTTTCCATATGCCGTACCCTATTGAATATTGTTGTCCTTATAGTGATAAATACCAGTGTAGGACAGCATAATATATAGTATTCTAGCTGAGGTTTCTGTCTTTGTGGCTACTATTTTCCTATGGAGGTGTGGAATGGCCCCTAACCAAGAGCAGCCACCAAGGTGGCTAGGGAGCAGGAAGGACCATTCCTTCTGTTATAAGGTGTGGCTAGGGAGATGGGTCAGTTGGTAACAGTGCTAAATTCCATCCCCAGTGCAGGGCCAGCACTTGTTGCCAAACTCAACAACTTGAGTTGGATCCCATGTGGTGGAAAGAATATTATATTGATTCTCTACAAATTGTCTTCTGACCCCCACCCACATGTACCATAGCATGTATACATGCACACATACAAATAAAAATTTAAGAATGTGATTTTTTTTTAGGTTCTAATTCCACCGTCTTTGCACTCTCTGCTGTTTAGGCAGGTCCCTGTGGTGATTAAAATCTGTGACCCATTTCCATGTCATCGAACAGATTTCCCATCTAGCTTTGTAGGTGATGGTGGTGGTGGTTTTTTGGGTTTGTGTGTGTGGTTGGGTTTTTTTTTGAGACAGGGTCTCAAATAGCTCAGGCTGACTTTGAACTCCTGGTGCCCCCAGCCTGTGCTATCCAAGTGTTTTGTATGTTGGTTGTGAGATTGCAGAGGGTTGTTAGGTGTGTTAGCTGTTTTTCATTTTCAGTTGAAAAATACACATGAGGTTACATTTTAAAGCATATAGCACTGTAGTGCCCATTGTTTTCTATCTTACAGAATAAAATTCTCTACCTGTTCTTTCCCAGACCCCTAATGACCACCATTATGGTTTCCTCCTGAATGTACTACTCCAGAGATGACAGATTCACTTCTCATTTTCAAGATGATAATCATGAGTTACTTTTGACTTGATCCATTTTAAAATGTAGGGTTAGTCTGTATGTTTTTGTTCTTTTTTTTTTTTAAAGACCTCTCAAGCTGGATCAAAAGATAAAAAGACGGACCAACCACCTCAAGCCAAGAAGGCAAAAGTGAAGACCAGCACTGTGGACCTGCCCATCGAGAGCCAACTCCTGTGGCAGCTGGACCGAGAGATGGTCGGCCTGTATACAGAGAATGAGGTACATTCAGACTCTGTAGCCTTTAAGACAGTGGTTCTTATCTTTCCTAATGCCTTTAATATAGTTCCTCGTGTTGTGGTGGCCCTAACATAAAATTACTTTTCCATTTTATTGATTGATAGATTGATTGGTTTTTCTGGGCAGGATTTCTCTGTGTAACAGTCCCGGCTGGCCTTGAACTCAGATTCCCTAGCCTCTGCCTCCCAAGTGCCAGGACTAAAGGTGTGTGCCACCATGCTTGGCAAAAAAAGGTTCTTATAAACAGCTTTAGGGATTCTCCCCCAGCTTTAGGGCTTCTCTGTGTAGCCCTGGCCATTCTGGAACTCACTCAGTAGAACACTCTGACCTGAAACTCACAGTTATATCTACCTGCTTCTGCCTACCAAGTGTTGGGATCAAAGGTGTGTGCTGCCACTCAAATCTTTGTCTTAAATATATTTGATTTTGCTTTTGTGGGTATATCTTAATATTTTGACTATTCCCTCCCTTCAGAACAAACCCCACAAAGCTGTGATCTTCAAAGTTTCTTCCTGGTTATATTCCTGGCTCTATTTTCTTGGGGTGGCTCACGAGAATTGAAAGGATTGGAGCAGGGAAAACTCTTTGCTTTTCAGTTGTGTCAGTTGATGCTCATAGCTGGCCTTGTGTCTCATCTGTTGCTCCTGTTCCAGGGTAAGATGATCATGCAGGATAAACTGGAGAAGGAACGGAACGATGCCAAGAACGCGGTGGAAGAATATGTGTACGAGATGAGAGACAAACTTAGTGGTGAATATGAGAAGTTTGTGAGTGAAGATGTAAGTGTGCCGCTCCCTTTCTGTGGGTGTGTAGGGAGAGCTTCAGACACTTGAGAAGGAAGCTCGGTTTGTGTGTGTGTGTGTGTGTGTGTGTGTGTGTGTGTGTGTGTGTGTGTGTGTGAGATTGAGTGACTAAAAATGTTTGGAGAGAGAGCTCAGTGGTTAGAGTACTTGCTGCTCTTTTAGAGGATCTGAGATTGGTTCTCGGCACCCATGTGGTGGCTCACGGTGTCTGTACCTACAGTTCTAGAGAATTGACACCCTTTCCTGGCCTCCATGGACACTACATGCATGTGGTACAAGTACATACAGGCAAGCAAAACATTCATATGCATAAAATAAACCCAAATACTAAAACATGTATCTCTTTGGGAGTTACATAGTGGTAAACTAAACATGCATATATTAAAAAACTTACATGTGTGAAGGGTACACATGGATGTGAGTCTATGTAGAGGCTCAGAGTTGATGTCTGCAGTTCTCCACTTTTATTTTTGAGGCAGTCTTTCCTTGAACCTGCAACTAGCTTGTTTTTACTAGTGTAGCTGGCCAGCCTATTCCAGGGACCCCCAACTCTTGTCTCCTGAGTGCTGAGATCATAGGAGCTGCTCACCTGCTTGGCTTCTACATGGGTTCTGGGTATCGTAGGCACCTTAACTCATTTACTGATCCATCTCCCCAGCCTGGTTTTGTATTTCTTTGCTCTTTTCTTTATTGTTAGAATGTTTCCCATTACAGTATGAGTGAGAGTGTGTGTGTGTGTGTGTGTGTGTGTGTGTGTGTGTGTGTGTGTGTGTGTGTGTGTGAGAGAGAGAGAGAGAGAGAGAGAGAATTATAATGTTTTCTTTATTTACAGGATCGTAATAGTTTTACCTTAAAATTAGAGGATACTGAAAATTGGTTGTATGAAGATGGAGAAGACCAACCAAAGCAAGTTTATGTAGACAAATTGGCTGAATTAAAAGTAAGTGACCTTTTTTTGTTTTGGTTTGTTTTTTCGAGCCAGGGTTTCTCTGTAGCTCTGGTGCCTGTCCTGGATTTGCTCTGTAGACCAGGCTGGCCTGGAGCTCACAGAGATCTGCCTGGCTCTGCCTCCCGAGTGCTGGGATTAAAGGCGTGCCCCTACAGTGTAAGCTGAGGCCTGGAATAGTTCTCTTCTAGGTGAAAGCAGAGCATCTCTTGTATGGTAAAACTGGATGGTTAACATAGAAAGTATCACCCCGATTGAGGTCTTTGTTTGGAAAACGTTGTAAATTCACTGAGAGCAAAGCGGAACATGGCCTTTTGTTTCAGCTTTGCACTGTGGACTTCTGGAGAACTGGACATTGCAGCTGTCCAGAGTGGGTGGCTCAAGGACAGTGCCTAGGGCTTAGCTCACCCTGGCAGGGGTGCAAGTGCTCCTGCTAGCTGTGCCTTTGTGGGTTTTATTTGTTTATTGTTGAGACAGAGTCTCTCTCTGTCCCCTAGCTAGCTATTCTGGAACTCAGTATGTAGATCAGGCCAGCCTTGATCTCAGATCCACCAGCCTTTGCCTCGCAAGTGCTGTAACTAAAGGCACGCACCACCACTGCCCAACTTCCCTGTGCAAAATGTTTTTCTTTGTCTTTTGAGAGGTGCCAGGCATGTGAAAGTTGAGGACCAATCATTTAGGCCATCTTGGCTAGTGTCTTTTCTGTACATTTCTCTAAGTTTGAGTTAGATTTTCTGTGATTTGGGTTATGTTTAATACAGAATATTTCAGTATGCTCGTAAAAGCCTCATGCTGCACCATCATTGCACCAGAGATCTCCAGTGTCACTGTGTTGAGTTTTCAAGTTCATTTTCTAAACAGTGATCATCTAGTGGATTTGCATTGGGACTCAGATGTAGTGCACATAAGTGTCTCCTCATCTATGTCTGTGGCTGACCTTATGTTCTACTTCTTCCTCATGTATGTGCTGAAGAGACTGCCCTTTCTCCATTTGTTGTGGAGAATTTTCTCTGGGTGTGGATTTTGCCACTTTTTTTTATTTTATTTTATTTTATTTTTTGAGACAGGGTTTCTCTGTGTAGCTTTGCGCCTTTCCTGGATCTCGCTCTGTAGACCAGGCTGGTCTCGAACTTACAAAGATCCGCCTACCTTTGCCTCCCAAGTGCCTGGGATTAAAGATGTGCGCCACCACCGCCCGACTTACTATTATTTTTTTTTTAACCTTTTATTTCTGTATGTGTATGAGTGTTTTGCCTGTGTGCGTATCTGTGTGCCACTTATGTGTCTGATGCCCAAGGAAGCTAAAAGAGGATATTGGATGCCCTGAAACTGGAGTTACAGACAGTTGTGAGCCACCATGTGGGTGCTGGGAATTGAACCTGGGTCCTCTGCAAGAGCAGCCAGTTCTGTAACCACTGAGTCATCTCTCCAGCCTCTAGATTTTGCCACTTTTACCTTAATAGTGGTAATGTGATTTCATCAGAATCTAATATGACTTAAAGGTTTTGTTGTTGTTGTTGAGGTTTTATTTATTTTTATGTAAGTGTTTGCCTAGATGTGTTCTTTTGTGCCATGTCTGTGCAGTGTCCCTGGAGGCCACGGTTCTGATCTCCTGGGACTGGGGCTACAGATGGTTTTGAGCCACCGTTTGGCTGCTAGGACTTGAACCCAGCTTCTCTGAAAGGGCAGCCAGTGGTCTTAACTGCTGAGCTATCTCTCCAGCCCTCCAGTGTGCTTTTTTGTTTGTATGTTTTTTGAGACAGGCTTTTTCTGTGTAGCCCTGGCTGTCCTGGAACTTGCTCTCTAGACCAAGCTGGCCTCGAACTTACAGAGATCTGCTTGCTACAGTGTGGTTTTTAATAAGAAAAATTGTTGGGCAAGTACATTTAGAAGACATATAACTTTTGATTTCCTCCTCCTGTGAGAACTGGGATTTGGTCAGTAATGAGAAACAATTCCACTTGGGACAGTCTTGACTTATGCTCATGAGCAGCCAGAGGAGCCTGATACTTGTGATGGTATTTATTTATCTTACTATACATGCACGTATTGTTGTTTATATATTTGTATGTATTCATGTGTGTGCACACACATACCCAAAGAATGACGCTTTAGCTCCATTACTCTTAGACCTAGTAGCACTGTAACTGTAATAGTGTGAGCTACCCTGTACAAACCTGTGTATTCTCCTACTAGAATCTAGGTCAGCCTATTAAGACACGGTTCCAGGAATCTGAAGAAAGACCAAAATTATTTGAAGAACTAGGGAAGCAAATCCAACAGTATATGAAAGTGATCAGCTCTTTCAAAAACAAGGTATCTTATTCTTATTTTCATTTTTCTATGATTTTGGTCAGGGCACTGTGTATTTGTTTTTGTTTGTTTGATTTTGTTTTTTGTATTTTGGTTTTTCGAGACAGGGTTTCTTTGTGTAGCCCTGTGGCTGGCTTGGAACTCAGAGATCTGCCTGCCTCCTCTTCCCGAGGGCTGGGATTAAAGGAGTATTTTATTAATTTTATTCTTGTGCACATAGAAGGTGTTGGATTCTTCCTGGGGCTGGAGTTAGAGGTGGTTTGAAGCTGCCCAGTGTGGGTGAAGGGAACTGAACTTGGGTCTTACAAGAGCAGCAAGTGCCCTTAGCCACCAAACTGTCTCTCTAGCCCCAAATGAGGATTTTTTGAAAGGCAGTATTGGGCAGGGAGTGATGCACTTTTGGCACTTAGCTGTCCACCCCACACTTGTAGGAGGACCAGTATGAGCACTTGGATGCCGCCGACATGACGAAGGTAGAGAAGAGCACCAATGAGGCGATGGAGTGGATGAATAACAAGCTGAACCTGCAGAACAAGCAGAGCCTGACGCTGGATCCAGTTGTCAAGACAAAGGAGATTGAAGCTAAAATTAAGGTAGTTTGCAACTTTATGTACTTGGACTTTTCTTGGCAGCTCTTTTGTTATTAACATTTGGGACTTATTGTACGTCTTAGCTACTGGGGTTTAGCATGCAAAATAAAATATGTTTAATTTATAAGAAATCATCGTTTTCTTTCTTTACCATTCTAGGAGCTGACGAGTATTTGCAGTCCTATAATTTCAAAGCCCAAACCCAAAGTGGAACCCCCAAAGGAGGAGCCAAAACATGCTGAGCAGAATGGACCAGTGGACGGCCAAGGAGATAACCCAGGCCCCCAGGCGGCTGAGCAGGGTGCAGACACAGCTGTGCCTTCTGATGCAGACAAGAAGCTTCCCGAGATGGACATTGATTGATTCCAACATTTGTTTATATTAAAACAGACTATTATAAAGCTTTAAGTTGTCAACTTTGTTCTAAATATCAACTAGAGCAAGCAAATACTGGAGATTTCTTAGTTTTTAGGGGATCTTGGGGGTGGGGTATAGGTAATGTACGGAGCATTTTGACTTCTAAATAGTTAGATCCAGAGATAGAGTGCACACTCTCTCTTTCTCTCTCTCTTCATTATGGTCCTGTTTAAGAGCTCAGCTAGTCTTTCTGAACGCCTGCCTTCCTCCTTTGTGTTTTAATCATGCTTCTACAAGATGAAGTGTGTTGGGAAAGCTGAGCTCTAGCAAAAGCTTTGACAGCCACCAGGCAGGCTTTTCTTTATACATGACAGAAGCTCACATTACGCTTGTAAAGTCTGAGTGGAGATCACCACCAGCATTCTCATCCTGTAGCAGGTCTGTGGCTGGCACTTCCTCCATTTCTGAGGGCCAGAGCCTGGGCAAGCATGGATTAACATGGAGTGCAGAGCACAGCAGGGCCTGCTCTGAGGCCTCATGGCTCTCCATTCCCAGCTCTGTCTCCCTTCTCCCTCAGCAAGCAGTTATAAATGCCACATGTCCTCTTCACTTAGAGCGAGCTTTAGCGAATCAAGGGACTTGGATGCAGTAGCTTCCCATACTTCCCTAAAGTAAATTTGCTAATCCTGAAGCATCGAAGTATAGTTTTCCCTTCAGGTTAGGTTGTAGAGAACACGGTTGGGTGTGGGCTTGGCGAATCTGAGCTATCCATCCTTGCTTATTATGGTGGAAAGATTTGTACCCTGACCTGCTCAAGTGGGAGATGATGTGTGTAAATTAGAGAATTGGACAGAAGAAGATGAGAGTTCAAGATTCTTAGCTCATTTGCCATCACCTGTGTTACTGTTAATATGTGTCATGAATCTGCCAATCTGTATGTTACAACAGCTGACAGATTGTAAGCGATTGCATCGATTGCTCTGGATGAGTCTGAAATTAGTGTTGAGGTGCTCAAGGTCACAGGAATGCCTCACTGTTGACTGCAGACAGTGTGGGCACTACACATTTCCTGGGGCAAGTCTACAGGAAGGAGATGTTCTGGAAACAAAGGGATGCCTGCAGTAGAGGGCAGAGTTGGTTACCTGCCTTAGTTACAAGTGTTGGTGGTTATGTTCTGGGTCTTTGTAATCACTGATCTCTGTAACAGAGCCTCTCTGTTCATTTTTGCTTGTTGGAAATAAGCTTAAAACCATGCATAGTTCAATTCACTATGCTTCTGTCTGTCTGCACAGAAAGTGCTGTAGCCCTCAAGTGTTCTATAGGCAGTTGATGGGAGAGGGGGGCAAGAAGTCAAGTAAGTGACTGGATGCCCACTCAGCACAAGCCTGGAGCCCCAGGCCGGGTGTGTGCTTTGCTGAAGGAGTGCCTGCCGGTCCCGCTGGGAGGCCCATAGCTGTTTCAAGTGCAGGCAGCAGGATTAAGCCAACTCTTATGCAACTTGACTGTCTTTAATGACCATTTCTCATAAACATTTGTGTGTGGGGGTGGGAGGGTTCGGGGGTTGGGGTGGGAATGAATTTGAAGTTTAAAGTTAAAGCTAGAAATTAGATGGTCTGCTTCTGCTGTCAAGACAGATTGGATTTATGTGGAGGCAGGCCAGAGTGGCAACTGATGACTTGTGTGCAGACAAGCATTTATCCAGGTTGCGTTACCCAAATTGGTTTGTTAAAAACTCAAGGTCACATTCTTACACTAAAAAACAGTAAACATGAGACAAAGTTTAGGAAAAACTAATAAAAGAAACCTGTCTTAACTCGAATGGTTTTCTTAATTTCCTTATGTGGACTGGTGAGTGAGTGTGTGAGACAGACGGGCTGGGGAGACTTTGTATGTAATACAGCCTTGCTGGAATGTAGTGTTGTCAGGCCTTTAGGACCTGGTGTAGGAATCTTCTGCAAGGCTTGCCTTTATGTTTGACGGCAGTAGAAGGTAGATGGTATATAGATCATAGTGAATACCAGGACTGAGTAGGTCCAGAATCTGCTAGTGGGTACATAATGTATGTCCTGTGATTGTGGAAATGGGAATGAAACCATGAGACTTCTATTGCTAAGACGGGTTCTAGGTAGGGAGAGGTCAGAGGCATTACTGTCTGGAGTCACGTGCCGCTCTTTTTGAGACAACTCTTACATAATCCTGGCTGTCCAGGAACCCTGCCTCTGGATTAAAGGCGTGCACCACCACACCCAGCTGAAGTCAGACCTAACTGGGAGAAGAGAGGTCTATGGTGGGGATGGGGGTGGGCATGACCACAGTGTCAGTCCTGGAGAAGAGCAGTCCTGTTCCATAGCTGTTCCCTATGATCACCAGCGCCCCTGCATATTGTTGTGGGGGCTGTGAGAGGGTGGAAGCTAGGGCTGGTGTAAAATTGTCCATGTATCCCCTTCTCAGTGTGTGCGGAATATCCTCAGCTACGGGATGGGGAAGGGTGAGGTCCCGAGTGACTTCTGTAAGGAAGGGGTAAAAGGGCCACGGCAGCTGTTCAGGTCTGTTCACAAGAGTCACTGGGTTTTTCTGGAAGATCCTGTGATGTGTGTGGAGTGAGAAGCCAGCGGTATGAGACTGAAAACATTGGAGTAATGAGGTGGTATGGCTGGTTGTACCTGGGGGGAGGGGGAGGACTCCGGCGTGGCTCCAGCTCAGCCTGCTGTGAAGAAGTTTGTAGGGTCGTTGCTCATTAGAGAGTGACAAGGCTATATGAGACAGGCTTGGAGGCCTGACTCACTTTTTCTCTTACTGCTGGACTGAACCCTAGGGCAGGCAAGTGCTCTACCACCAAGCCACATCTGAGTTTGGTGTCATCCCCTCCCTTGGTTTTGATTTCTGTTGGAGCCCACTAGGTTTCCTAGTGGCTGTACCCAGCAGGACTGCAGGGAAGGTTGATTGGACCACGGGCTTGGGTACCAGGTGTTGGTATGGGTCTAACTAGCAAGGGGGAGGTCTTTTGCTCCACCCCTTGGCATTGTTATAAATAGACCTTTGGAATAACGTTCTGGGCCAGTGGATAAGGATCCAGGCCCTCCCGAGTCTATCCTGTGTTTTTTAACTCTCTAAGTCTCTTATTCCCTCAATCCTTAAGAGTTCCTGGAGTAAATAAGTGTGGGGGCTGGTCCCCCACAGATGTTTCAAGGTTTATGTATTTTCAAGGATGACTTTTATTAATGTGTCTGCGGAGGTTGGAAGAGAGTATTGACTCTGCAGGAACTGGAGTTCCAGGTGGTCATCAGCGTTCAGGGACCAAGCTGAGGAAGAGCTGCTAGGTGGTCCTCATGGGCCTAGAAGTCTATGTAGACTAGGCAGTCCTTCAATTTGGTCTTCCTGCTTGTGCTTTCCAAGTGCTTAGAGTGCAGGTGTGTGCCCCCACCTGGCCCTGCTTCTGTTTCTTGACCCGCCTTTTGGTTATAGACTTATTTGCACGCTTGCGATTTTCCATTATGCTGAAGTGGTTTTAATTTTGCATGCTAAATGCAGGTTATAAAACTGCATAACCAGGTGGGCGGTGGTGGCGCAGGCCTTTAATTCCAGCACTCAGGAGGCAGAGGCAGGCAGATCTGAATCTCTGTGTTTGAGGCCAGCTTGGTCTACAAAGTGAGTTCCAGGACAGCCAAGGCCTGACTGACCCTGTCTCGAAAAACATACTTCTAATGTTTGTTGTTGAAACATTCCAGGACAGCCAGGGCTGTTACACAGAGAAACCCTGTCTCAAAAAAAAAAAAAAAAAAAAAAAAAAAAAACAAAAACAAAAACAAAAACAAAAAAACAACCCTGCATAACCACCCATGTTTGGAAAGAACCATAAACTCTGTTACCGGTAACATTCATTTGGGGCTGGAGTTTAAGAGCACTGGTTGCTCTTCCAGAGGACCCTGGTTCAATCCCCATACTCAAAAGGCAGCTAGCAACTGCCTGTAACTCTAGTTCCAGGGGATCTGGACTCTATAACCAAAAAAGAAAAAAAAAAAAGCATTAAATTCATTTGGAAGGATACTTCCAAATGAAATAGCTTTCAGGGTGGGCTTATGGGTAGGTTTTCCCCCACTGTTTTGGTTTTTGTTTTGAGACAGGTTTTTCTGTGTACCTCTGGCTGTCCTGGAACTTGCTCTGTCGACCAGGCTGGTCTCAAACTCAGAGATCTGCCTGTCTCTACCTCCTGAGTACTGATATTAAAGACATGTATCATCACTGACCCGCATGGGTAGATTCTTACTGTGCATTTTTCCTGTTATGTGTTCTCTCAGATTAATAGAAAATTTGAGATTTTGTGGTGTTAAAAGTATCTTGGGGGGCTGGAGAGATGGCTCAGTGGTTAAGAGCATTGGCTACTCTTCCACAGACTTGGGTTCGATTCTCAACACCCACATGGTGGCTCATAACTGTTTATAACTTCATCCTAGGGGATCTGATGCCTTCTGGCTTCCATAGGCACCAGGCATACACTTGGTGCAGAAACACACATGTAGACAAAACATTCATTACATAAAATTAAGAGAAAGTGAAAGTATCTGGGCACAGTGGTAATGTCCACAATCCTAGCACTGAGGAAATGAGGCAGGAGACCCAAGACCAACCCTGGATTACTCAGTGATTACTATTGTTTCAACAACAAACATAAGTATGTTTTTTTGTTTGTTTCTTGAGACAGAGTCTCTCTAGTCCTGGCTCCTGAAACTTATTATGTAGATCAGGCTGGCCTTGAACTCAAGAGATCCGCCTGCCTCTGCCTCCCAAGTGCTGAGATTAAAGGCATGCACCACCATGCTGGCCTTAAAGGTGTTTTTAGAGAGAATGGCAAGGGAGGCAGAGGCAGGTGGACCTCTGTGAGTTCAAGTCCAGCGTGCTCTACATAGTGAGTTCCAGGTCAGCCAAGGATATGCAGTGACATCCTGTCTCAAACAACAACAACCACCACCACCACAACAACCAAAGAGAATGGCGCTCTGAGCTGGGGATACAGCTCAGCTGGTAGAGTGCTTGCCTAGCAGACACGAAGTCCTGAGTTCATTCAGTCACTGGAGACCACACAAAGCCTACATGATGCATGCCAGTGCTCGTGGAGGGGGTGAGTGGGAAGAGGAGGACCACAGTTCAAGATTGCACTTGGTGTGTATGTAGTGAGTTTGAGGCTAGTCTGGATTACATTGGGTGGCTCCAAAATAAGTAAGCAAGCAGTAAATGAAAGGATGACTTTAAGGTTTTAAATCGAGATGTGATCAGATATGTGGAGCGTTTACACCCTCTCCAGTGACTCTAGCTTGTGTCAAGTTGACATAAAATTAGTTAGCACAGTGATCTAAAAATGTCAGGGTCATGGCAGGTGCTGCTGCTGGTTATAAAGGTGGTGGGTTGTATAGGATTTACGTGAGAACTGTAGTTCCGGGTAGTTATGGAAGAAAGCCTCAGGACAGGATGTGTCCCCCTGGTTAAGGAATGGACTGTATTTAGAAGTGTCGGGGGTGGGGGGGGAGCAGAAGCTTCCAGAGCAGAAGGTGTGTCAGGAAGAGGGAGGCTGATGATGAGAAATTGAATGGCCAGCAGGTCTGGATGCTTCGGGAGTGTTTCAGAAGGTGGGAGCTGGCTGAACAGAAGGAGCTCGGGCACAGTGAAAGCAGAATTCCCAAGCACCCAGCCTGCTGGAAACTGGACCAGTTGGCAGGCTGGACAGTGTCCTGTGCCTGTGGTCTAGAATGAAATGAGGATGATTCTTCGGGCTTCTTGTGGTTGCCGGTCCATTCCTTGAATGGTTCTTGGTGGGGACAGCCCCAGGACATGACCCTCTGACCTGGAATACTGCTGTCATTTGGCTCGGAGTCTGCTCTAAGAACTGTAGGGAGGAAGACTGTGATCTCAGCATCAGCCCGTGAAGCAAGATGGAGAGCAGGAGGGTGTGCTTTTCTCGGGGATCAGGGAAAGAAGGGGCCTAGACGATGTTAACAATACAGAAATGCTCTCCAGATTTGTGCAATATCCATGGGCAATCGCCAGGCTGGCCCCGACCTTAGCGTCTAGTGTTGGCCCATGCAGTCAGGACAAAGAGAATCGGGGGAATATTTGCTTCCAGTTACTCAGTGGGATATGTGTGATTCAAGCCCAGCACTCAGAATCATATACTATAGGAAGCTGTGTTTGTCTTGGGCCCTTTTCATGAGCTGTGTCCAGACTTAAATCCTTCCAGGGCTGGGTGCCTGTTGAAAATTTGGAGTCCTCGATCAGTGGAGGGCTCGTTGTCCACTTTTCTTACCTCCAGTTAGCAGGCTTTCTCACCAGTACTTCAGGACTCAGTGTTCTGTTTTGTTTTCTACATGAACTTAAACACTTACTTTAAAATTGGGATTGGAGAGACAGCTCAGCAGTTAAGAGTGCTTGCTGGTCTTGCAGAGAGGTCTGAGTTCAGTTCCTAGCACCCACAATGGGCTGCTCACAAATGCCTATAATTCCAGCTCCAGAGGATGGAAAACCTCTGGTCTCAACAGGCATCTGCATTTGCACACATGTGCTTGTGCGCATACACACACACACACACACACACACACACACACACACACACACTTAAAAATAATCTTAAAAAAAAAAAACCCGCCATACTTTAAAGAAATACCAGCCTACTATTTAAGTTTGACTGGTGCTTGCAAAGCTGGAGCCACTGGGAAGACTGTAACTCAGCTCCCAGGACAAACCCTAGCCCCAGGTATTTAGAGGTTGAGCTGAATCAGATGTGTCCGACCCGAGGGCATCTTTTAGTTATTTCAGCGAGAACTGTGT